CAAGCTTCCAGTGGTTCTTCAGACCGTGATGGATACAAGGTTGGCATCAATAAATCCCCACAAACCTCCAAATAAAATTTAAATCGTTTTCAAAAATACTCTGAAGTAAAATAATAATATATAAAAGTAATATTTCTTTCAGACAGCTAAAGAAACCTACTGAAACATGAAAATTAACAAAACATAGGGAAGGAAGAGATCACTTTTAATAGCTCCATGATGGATTATTCGGTCAAATATGGTCAAGTTGTCTCAGAGAATTTTTTTTCGATATCTTGCACAAAGACAGACTGAAAAATTCAAAAAGAATATGGATTTTTTTTTCTGCTTGTATATAGCAGAACAGTTTGGTCCAGCTTGCCTACAAAAGAGGTGTACCCACCCTCTTATTTTGCTATGCACATAATCTTTCCTTATCTGCCTTGATTACTTCAATTTCCACCTTTTACTAACTGATTATTGCTTTTACTTTTTGCAACGGTGTTTTATGAATATGTAAGTACTAGATCGAACTTCTCTTCAAAAGCTTTCATTGGTGTATTTTGAACTTCATAAAAACTTTTCTAAGTCTTCTTTGTGGGTAAATGTATACTTTTTCCTGAAGTGTTTAGTATGAGGTAATCTCTTTCTTATTCTAGGAACAGCTTATTATTTAATGCTGGGACATTTCTATGTATTAGCTCGTATGAAAGTAATTTGTTTGTTATGACTAGAAGTACAAGTGTACATTTGCCTGAAAGGAAATTCTCTTTGTTGGTTTATCTTTCGCAAATTTAGCAATACTTCCTTTTATCAGTAATCAAGTTTAACCGAATACGACAGGTTATGGGGACCGCAGCTTTCGAACATACTAAAATGACACGGTGTTGTCGAGTCATCTATAACATTGCACCACTTCATGAAGTCTTCGACTGTTGGTCTGAGCCACGTAATGGAATGTAGACTTCCTGGTCGGTGTTTGCCTAACAACCGAAATCGGTGGTGGGAGACTGTGGGCAAAGTGGCCTAGAATCGATATCAGTGGTGCAGACGTATCCACACATTATTTTCATCTTTATCGTCATACCGCATCTTAGTACTGTATTATTCCTTCTTGTTCTATTTTTACATGTTGCTACCACTTTTGGCGACTTTCTTTGTTCTCTTCTCTTATTTTATTTGTCTGCATCCAGTCTTGATGTGCTAATATATGTCTATACCTATGTCGATACTGACTACCTAATTGACTGACCGACTGTCAGTTTATCCCCATCGATTGATTTCATCTATCGAGTTAACAATGTCACCAGTAGGTTCAGTAACACAATATGATATATCTCATTGAGTTTCAAATAGCTTGAAGTGATCGAAGGAAAGTTTCACTTATATCAGGTCTGTTTTAAAAGCTTTGAATTGCTTTTCTAGGCATAATTGTATCCATTTGTGATTCTTATAATGTATATCAGAAATTACTGATTTCAATACATTCGATTAAATAATCTTTTAGTTGCAAATTCAGTTTATCATGTACACAAATATTATAGACCAGATCAGTGATTCTTCACTGATTTCAATACTAGCAACCTAATAAAGAATTCAGCAAATGGTTTATTGCTACTTGTAATTTCCCGTTGCTTTACTGGACAGAACTGTTTGACCTCTGTTGGCAGATGATTTTCTATGCCTGAAAATTCGTCACGTGACTTTTTACACGGTGGCTTAGTGGATAACGCTCCGACATTTAATTTATTATTATTATTATTTGTCCCTTGGGTTCCTAATGGAACATAGGGCTTCAGTAGCAGGTCTCCAGTGCACTCTGTTCTCTGAAATCTTTTGAACCTGGCTCCACCACTGCCCACAACCTCTCATTTCCTCCTCGCACGATCTCCTCCATGTCACCCTCGTCTCGCACACTCAACTGGTTGTTTCCCATTTGGGTTCCACTCGACAACATGGCCTGATGCATGATATCCCCAGTCGGTCTTCTCAGTGTATGCCCAATACAATCCATCTCCACTTCCTTCTGCATTTATGTTGAGCGATGGGTTGTTGACTGGTTGGTTCCCAGAGTTCCTTGTTGCTCATTCTCATTATTCTGGCCATCTGATCTTCAGTAACGAGCCAGCGTAGGCGACAGTTGTTGATGATTATCTGTAGTTTGCTGGAAACGCTTTTCGTGACTCACCAAGTCTCTGAGCCATAAACGATAAATGATTCGGCGCCAGTTCTCGCAAAGACTTACATCTACCTTCTTCGAGAATTTCACAAGGTAACCCTCCTTCCAACCAATCGGCAAGTACCTTTCCTATCTTCCTTTCTTCCTTCAGAATCTTCTGCAATACTGGTGTGAGCATGTCTGCTGCTGATGTCCCGACTTCTGTTTTCAGTGCTGCTGGGTGAATTCTATCTGGTCCTGGTGCTTTCCCGGATTTCAACGACTTTATGGAGTTCAAGACTTTACTTCTGCTTTATCGGAGAGCTTGTGTTCACTGTGGCTGTTCAGTTCTATGGCTGAACTGGCCTGCTGGTGATATTTCTGGACAAGTTGCAGGTGGTGGCGGTCAACTCAAGAGATTTTTCTTTTGTGTCTTCTCTTTGGTAACTAGGTTTCATCTGGTTTCATCTGCGTTGATCTCTTCCCGGATAGTGACCTGGTTATTTAATATAATGATGTCTAATCTCTGTCTCTGTTACCTGCAGCCTGTTCTGTTTCACTTGCTAATATGTCGTAGAAGTGTCTCTTGTCTTTCCCCGCAGTCTTCTTCATTTCCTTGTCCAGTGTTGTGTTTTATCTGTTATGTTCAGTTCCCTTTTTCAGTGTTCATCCCTACACTGTACTGCAATGTATTGGTTCATCTTCTGCTTCATCATATTCATCTCCGTATTCTATCAGCTTGCATGTGTCCGTCAAGATCCATTCCTTCACTCACCTCTTCTTTTTCCTTCCTAACACGGTTATACAGCAGGTCCTCTTCCATGTCTCTTTCAAACAGTTCCAGTGTTCTTCTACACACGTCTCCTCAGGGATGCTGCTCAATGTCTCCCATTTTGTCCCGATGATTGACGACGTGAAGATATCCTTCATTGATTCGTCCTTCAACTTCTCCTCAGGTTGTTCAACTTCAATTGTGGTCTATCACCAGCTTGTTCGAAGGCTTTCAACTCCAATTCGAAGGTGGGTTCCTTGCACTAGATAGTGAATGGCGTAAAACACCTACATTTACTACCCTTCTTCATCTCATTTGATCTTATCTCCAGTAGGCTGTCTTTTCACCTCACATTGCTATGAAGTTGATCTGATTTTTAGTGTGGTGTGTCCATCTGGTGAATGGTGAAATCAACTTCATGTCGTTGCTTTGTGAATAACCTTGTGTTTGTGCATACTGTTTCCAATCACCAAATAGTTGGATGCACAGGAATCTGCAAACAGTTATCCATTCTCATTCATTCCGTAGAGTGCTTCTCGACTCATGATCGGCTATCTTCCTGTTTTATCCTCTAATACTTTGATATTCATTTCACCCCACCCATTAGAATGAATTTTGATGTCGCCAACTGTGAGGTGGGGTTTTGTCCAGTGCTGATTGCAGTCGTCTGTAGAATTCCTCCTTCTTCTCTTCATCTGTATAAATTTGTAGGTGCATGGCGTAGAGTAGCATTGTATGATTGTGACTTTTCTTCCTCTTGAGTTGAATCCATCATGCTATCATAATGCTGATCCTGATGCTGTAGGAGACTGGTTCCCACTGCCTGAAAGACTTTGATGCCGTTGGGAGTGGACATCATGATAGCCACTCGAAAACTCAGTGTGCTCGTTCGTGGTTGTCATCTGGGTGACAATATCGGAGTGGATTATTGACTCGTTTCCAGTTGACAGACAGTTTGGAGAGTCCACTTGCATTCCATCTGCATATTTCTTGCAGATTCCTAGCCTACCACTTCAATGCTATATCTTCTCATCTGTTTTGCAATCTGGACAGCCTTGTCAGCCAGCCAGTCAGCCAGACATGTTCGAACATTGTGTACACATTTTTAAATCCCCATGTTTACTTATGCTTTCATTGAGAGAGAGAGAGAGAGAGAGAGAGAGAGAAGACACATTTACCAAATGGCTTTGCGAAGGCTTTAACTATCTGGTGTCATTTCTTGTCCCTGTTTTCAGGGAGGAATAAGTTTATTTTTATTTTTTATTTTTTATATGTTTATAAGTCGACCATTTTCTTATATATCACATTTTATTGAACAAGTTAAGTGAAACTCACCAACTGTACATGGAACGAATAAAATTCTCATGTTTAGGGTATAAGATGTTGAAAATCAGTCTACTGAACATCTTGAACCTACATTTGCTACCTGCTGTTACCTATGAGTAAGGCGTACCTGAAAACATGAAGAAAGCGGTTTCCCATCGGTTATTCGAACCGCCTTCAATTAGAACTGATACCCGAGTTGTTATCACTACGGAGTTCATATCACCACTCCTTTCATGTAGGATTGATACATATACGCAAGTTTATTACTAGCGAGTGACTGATGTATTAAACTACGATGAAAGTCTGTCTATCAAGTTTGCACTGTGACGAGATGCTGATCATAGTCTTATTAGCTTCGTGGTAACGCTTCTAGCTTTAAAGCCTGTTTGAGTCACAGATAAAATATGAAATTCTTCATGTTTGCAGACATGTTTTGCTGATGAGTTCCAACAAGCATGAAACCATAGGGAGATGATAGCCTCCCACCGATAGACTCCCAACAAGTAACACCAGAATATAGTACATTGCAGTGTCACATCCCTTGACTAAATTACCACGTAAGTAACTTTTTATCTATAGATTTTAACCAGAGATAATCATTAAGAACTAAACAGTAACATCAATTAGCTATTATTGATAAATTCACATGTTGTTTTTTCCCCTAACAAAGTTGAATATAATGTATGCATATTAACAAACTCACTGGCATGTGATGGGTTTAAATTAGACGCAAACATGAAACATTGAAAGAGTGAAGAACAATACCTTTAAGAAGTCCTTTTCAAATGGATGTTCTTCATTTTCATGTATATTGAAAAGAACTCCTTCAATCCATGCATGATCAGCATTCAAATGATCAGTGATATAACCAGTATAAGCCTGAAAGTAATAAAATTGTCAATTAGTTTATTCTACATAGATAACCTTGATTACCTGAATGTACAGGAATAATAATTGAAATTGAAGAAGAACTTTATTCATAGAAAGGAGTCTATGCTTGCTATCATTCTACTGAGATATGGCTTAGGTTCCCTTTCATTTTCAATAACCATTCTCTTAAATTAGTAAATGTAAAACATTGCACAAGCAAGTTGAAAATGACATAATGTAAACTGATATTTTCATGTGAAATATGAATAATGATTGAACAAACTTCATGCAAATGTAAGATACAGGCAAAGTAGTGTCTGTATATCAGTTAAAGTTGAATCAGTTCAGCCTTAAAGTTTTTCTTTACTTTAGTAATTTCAAAAATGATGAATTTATCACTATACCTTGCGTTGATCTAAAAGAATATATCATCGAAGATCTAAAGCAGCATTCATCGTTTGATGCCTATCGCTTTAAGTATTCAAAGGACTTTTCAGTTTGATATCACCTTTGACAAATAGGATTATTCTCATTATGAAAGGAAGGTTTGGTTATATTGTACTGATTTAATACTCGCTAGTCATTAGGAGTAGCAGTTTAACAGAACTAATAATAATCTCCAGATTTGTGGAGATTTATTAATTGGTTTCAGGTTGAAATCCATCATGGACTAACATCAGTTTGAGGAACATTGGAAACCTAGGATCAATAGACAGCTGTTTCGTCCTAGTTTGGGGCTCCTCGACAAGGTGCACCCATGACCCGCTGCAGCAGGGTGTGAAACCAGGACTTTAAGGTTCCCCCCCCCCCAGTACGTCACCATTCAGCCAATGGGTCGGAATCCATTGGTCAATATTTCCTGTTTCTGTCAATTCGCGTAATAACGTGACCTACACCCAATGTCGTCTTTGAGTAAATGCCTTCATGTCCGAGTTTTTGGATCCACTGGTCATGACTTCTCATTGGAACTCCAGGAATCACATCTGATTCTGCAGGTTTGTGGAGACTTTTTATTTGATTTCAGGTTGGAATTTATCAGTGACAGGACTGGATGGAGGTCACGCTGTATTGTAAACTGACAGAATTAGGGAATATGGAACATTGGATTCCAAGGCAGTGGCTGAATGGTAGCGTGCTGGCCATGTAACCTGAAGGTCGTGGGTTCGATCCCTGGTGGGTGGACTCATGCTTCAGTACCGCTGAGGAGTCCCATATTAGGGCAAAACAGCTGTCCAGTGCTTCCAGGTTCCCAATAGTCCTCCAATTGATGTCAGTCCATGATGGATTCTAATCTGAAAACAATTAATAACAATAGGTCAATGAAATCTCTTCAAGCGCATAAGTTGACAACTTCAAGCTAGTTCGATTGGTTTAAATTCATTCCTTTCATCTATATGAAAATGCTCAGACTTCATACAGTGTCCCATACAAATAGTATTCGAAACACATTAGTCTTCGTGTCAAATCACCTTCGTTTTGACCGTAATCAAGTTCAGACCATATATCATTATTATTAGTAAAGGTAAGTTCCATAGGTCTGTTTCAGCTTATTTTCGTGACCTATTATTTTTATATAAGAAGAGTTAATATGAATTAAGTAGTTGAGGATGTGAATGATAATTGTTTCGTGTTCACCAAATTTTAGGGTTTATTTTCTTAGACGTTTCAACGCCAAACTAAGTGACTTCAGCAGAAATTTACTTCGCTCAGCCTATTACAAGAATCGTCTAAGAACAAAAGTTAAGGCTCGGAGAACACCACACAACTAAGATTTCATTGTTATGAATCATGTTTCAGCCTTATCATCCATTAAACGTACTTTAATAAGGTAGTCACTGAGATATTAATCTACAAATGAAGCAAGAAATAATGCCAGTTACATCACTTCAATTCAAACATTTCAAAAAATACTTAGAAAATACAACTGAAACACTTTTTATTGCCTAAAATGATCTAAAACAGGATTGAAATGAACGACTTTTGAGTTACCGAGATAATGAGCTGTACCAAATAAATAGTGAAACTTAAATCCTAAACGGGTCTTGATTTTACTTCAATACCCTCGAGTTTCATTTACTTGGTATGTGAATAAATGGTACCCTTTCAGTATTGTATGATATTTGCATTTCTTTAAGTACGTGTTTGGTCGTTTAGTGTTCTCTAAACTTTGATATTTTGTTATGACCATTTTATCAATAAGCTTAGTGACATCTGTAGTACTAATTTCATCAAGAAGTGAAGCACATTCGATTCTTACACGGACGTTTAAATAGTTTTTTATTGACCATAGGCATTGTCTAGTTGGTAAGTTGATGAAGAGGTTTTTACCAGACCTTGATCTCTTTGACTTTAAGTTTCTTTCTGGTAAACAATCTTAGTTGGAGTGAAATGGTGCTGTTTATTACTGTTACATTTTGCATGATTATCAGTTTCTCCAGTCAATTTGCCCTTGGTTGATGAATGACGTTTTTCTTCTTAAGTAGATTATAGACAGGGTTTATATCCACACGTCTGATGATTGACATTTCGTTTGAATGCCATACCTTCAGAACCTGCTTTTTGAAGGATTTCCACATTAGCCCAGTCGAATGTGTGATCTTGATTGTTTGGATAAATTAAAACCAAAGAGGTCAAACCATGTGTTGCTGTATTGCTAGTTGGTGTTCATGAATTTTTTGAACGATCCCATGGCTAGGCTGATCGACATAGTGTCACGAACAATATTTGCAGTTGGTTTCGTCGATTACATTTCTCCCGTCTTCTTTTTGAAATGGATCCCTTGGTTTTTACAACATGCTACATAGTTTTTTTCAAGTTGTTATTCATCGTAGACTGACATCAGTTGAACTGGTGCTCATTGATGACTAGCTTCAAGAGGTATTCCCGAAGTTCCAATGAGAAGTCGTGACCGGTGGAGTCAAAGCCTGATGGTCGTGAGGACAGTTACTCAACCATGACACAGGGTGGCGGTTGTGGTATATCGTGAGCTAACAGAAGTTGGAAATATAGACGAGTGGATTCTGATCCAGTGGCTGGCAGCGGGACATGAAGGTCACGGGTTCGATCCCCGGAGGGCGTGGTCGTGGGTGCATACTGCTGAGGAGTCCCATGCTGGTATGACGAAACACCTGTCCAGTGCTCCGAGGTTTCCTTTGTTCCTCCAACTGATGTCAGTCTACGATGAATAACAACTTGAAATATTTCCAAATCTCCCCAACTCCCTCAAAATATGGTTCTTTTCATGGTTTTTAGGCTACTCCGATTCCGAAAAGACGAAGTAATCGGTTGATTGTTTCTGAAATCTTTCATGTAGGGTGATGTAACACGCCTATTGAGTTGATGCAATTCCCCTGTCTTATCTCCTGTTGATAAACAGTAGTTGGTAAAGTTGAGCGGGTAATCATTAGCTTTAAACACTTTGTACGGGCAAACAGGTATAGGAAAATACTTTTGAGTTACTGGCCTAGTGCGGTACCAACTTGTCTGTTAGACCCAATCTTTGACAGGTCTTGATTCTACTTAAATAGCTGACGGCTTGATGCAGATGGTTTGTGAATTAATGGCACCTTGTTTATATTGTATGCTATTTGCATTTCTGTGTTTGTCTTTGACATTTTAGGTATGTTTCTTTTTGTGTGGCTGTTTATGGTTTTTGAATTGAATAGTACTGCGAATACATTGTCCATTATTTTGTACCACGTCTTCCGTTTATACCTTGCCTGTCATTGGTGGATCAGCAATGTTTGGAGAAAATGTGAAGATATTTGGGATTCTATGAACGTGTACACACTCACATGTACACTTGGAGTCAGGTGCACATCTTCAACAACCCAACTGTCTCTTAATCATCAGCATATTAGTTGCCCAGCCAACTCCTCCTTATCTCAATTTACATCTCACATTGTGTCATCGATTTCTCCCAAGTAACGGATGAATGAATGAGAAGGAGGGGATTGAATTATTCACTCACTTCTTTTATCTTTAAAAACAGCAATATATAATTATGGTGTTCTGTGGAAGAAGCGTTGATAGGTTTGCAGCTGACAGAGACTTTAATATTTTTCCTACAACTGTGGATTAAGTTAGTAAACTTGGACTGCTTAGATAAAACCTACCTTGAAGGATAGCCTTACTGAGTAGTGCATATATCGGAACTTTTGTATCAGTCCAGATTCGGCTCTTGGAACTGAGTACTACTAATCAATGTGAGTCGTCAACAGCTACTCATGTCAGTCATAAGTATAACTCATGATGCCTAAACAATCACATAAAATCACTGTCTGCTTGACGCACTAGCACATCTCTCAGCAAAATCTAACCAACCATCAATCCAAGTCACAACTGTCAAGTTCTTATTGAAATATGTTATCTTGATTTATTGGGTAACATTTTCAATCTGAACGAGGTCAAGATCTTTTTTCGTTCATTATCATCAGTAATAAACGGATGAAAGTTATCAGAGGTTCATCTGTAAGAAATGAAACTTGAAGTGTTCGAATAAATCGTCTATAGTGGTAGGAATATTGACGACGTTACTCTGAGTTGAAAATGCTGGTGAGTCTTCAGGTGAACGACTGTTTTATCTCTAACTGAAATAAAACAGATGCTCGCTACGCTTAAGTGTGACCTATAATGTTCACCACTATCAGATATTGCACATGGCCACATATGAGGAACTCATAGAAAACTACGACGAACTAACCAACTGTTGCATTACTCTGTGTATAAATTGGCAGAAAAGCTCCTAAGGAAGTTAGATGTACGTATTGTATTAGCTTAAGATTAGTAGAGTTGCAATGTGGATAAGGAAATAGGAATATCATCTGAAAATATAATTATGCTGCTCGGTTCTAAGTCTGCTTTCTTCAAAGTTCTAGTTTCACTCTCAAGAGTAATCATCGCCGTACACTGTTCCACAGCCCTACGTTCTGTATGATGACACATGTGTCAATTTTTAATGTACAATAAGATGATGTCAATCGGATGGAGACAAACGGGAAGAAACCATAATTGATCTAAGTTTCATTCATGTTGACAATTATCAGTAAAGTGGATGTAAGGGATTGAAGGAACTGGTGTCAACTGAAAGATTCAAACCTACGTCACCCAGTGTAGCAGCCAGAGACGTTACCACTACAACTGATCAGAATATGAATCAGAAAGAACTATTGAGGATGTTTAACAGCATACACACGTCGCTTGCCTTCATTTGTAAAGAATAAGACAATATGCTAAAAATTTTTAATGTGCTGTTAAGTAAACGAGGAGATGGATCACTTCACAAAAGAAACAAATCTGTATGTCAATACATACACTTCCATAGTTTCACTGCTATACGATACAAAAGAAATTTAGTGAAATATTTGACACCTAGAGCAAGGAAAATCTTCTGAGACGACACTCTACGAGGTGAGTAGAGTTCATTTCGAATTCATCGATTTGAATAGGTTATCGCCCCAATTTTACAAAAAAGTATATAAATAGATCGGAGAAAAGAACTGAAGCAGCAGCCGTTCGAAAGAAACCACCGTTCACAAAGCTACAATTTAGTGGTGACATACTTACGGAGATCCTATGCCACAAACTGTCAAGAACTATTGAAGGGAATTTTTCTGCAGCTAGTGTCTGTCTGACAGTTTATTTCGTGTCAAACGAAGGACAAGTCACCTAGTTTCGCCACTTCCATGTGTATTTACCAGTTTAATTGCTACTGTGGAGACAGTTATATTGGCCATAAGACTTGACAACTTAACCAACGTGTTGTAGAACACCTGCTTTCGTGGTTGCCTAAACGATAGGTTAAATCTATAAGAAGCTCTATTTTGTTGTATCCATTTGCTAGTCATCACAGAGTGAGTAAGACGAAAGCGTTCAAAGCATTCACCGAATACCACCAAACCTTTCCGATGGAGTTCCAATCCGCCTTTAATATGTATCTGAGGCTCTAAATCCAGAAAAAATTTGTACACCCTTTACCCCTACCTTGGTCAGGGAGAACGTAATGAATGACCTTACTTATAAGTTTTAAAATCTACTTCTCCTTTCTATTTTTATTTCATTTGTCAACCATTCACGCCACTACTATATTCACATTCAGATCTTATTTACTTACCGCCTCCAACCTTCACTATCATACAATTTTAATGCTCTTTTCAAAGCTTTGAGGTACTTTATCTGTCTATCTATCTGGACACCTGTTAACATTGTCGTACCATTCTGCATAAAACTGCAGGTGCGTTGCGTAGCGTAGCATTTTATAATTGTGACTTTCCTTCCTTTCCAGTTGAATTCATCTTGCTGTCATAATGCTGATCCTGAAGTTGGAGGAGATTGGTTCCCACTGCCTGAGAGACTATAATGCTGTTGGAAGGAGGACATCGTGATAGCCACTCGAAAACTCAGTGTTCTCCTTCATGGTTGTCATCTGGGTGACAATATCGGAGTAGATTATTGACTCGTTTTCCAGTTGACAGACAGTTTGGAGAGTCCACTTCTATTCCATCTGCATATTTCTTGCAGATTCCTAGCCTTCCGCTTCAATGCTACATCTTCTCATCTATTTTGCAATCTGGACAGCCGTGTCAGCCAGCTAGTCAGCCAGACATGTTCAAACATTGTATGGACATTGCATGTCCCCATGTTTACTTATGCTTTCATTGAGAGAGAGAGAGAGAAGACACATTGACCAAATGGCTATGCGAAGGCTTTAACTAACTGGTGTCATTTCTTGTCCTGATTCCAGCGAGGTGCAGGGAAGTTTCTTTTCCGATTGGATTGGTTTTCCTGTGTAGGGTTGCTGGCCGTATGCCCAACCTTTCCTCTTTATCCGGTCTTAGGACCGGCTAGTAACTGACGAACTAGTTAACCAAGCAGGGTTACTAAACTTTTAACAATCCGTTTTCCTTGTCATTGTCTCAAACATTTCCTTGATTGGTTGATATTTTACAAACATGTTGAAAGTCATGGACATTAGAGTGAAACGTGATTAGATCTAATTGAAAACGATATTGTTCGCTTACATGTCTTGTTATAATTTTCATAATGAGAATTTTTAACACTTTGAAAATGATTAGCAGCTGGAGAGTAAACAGTTTCACATTTTCCAGTTGTAAGCGCCAACTAGCTAGGATAGTCAGTATTGACGTGCCTTTTGATTCGGTCTAAGTATTTTATTCTCGAAGAATTGGGACTTTGTTCAAATTCCTCTCCCCTTACTTCACTTTGGGAAAACCTAGTAGCACCAGACACAATCAGACAGTTACTGTGGCTTATGTTCTAGTATATAAATATCTGTGCTATACTATAGTTTTATACTACTTAGACTTACAATAGAAACGCTTGCAGCCTTCAAACTTATAAGCATTAACTGAAGCTGTTGTTTGTCATTGAATAAATTTATCAAACGTCGTTGAATAAATACTCGAATCACATTTGCACTACAGTCTTGAAAATCACAATCCTGTCGATGATCAGTTAAGTACTAAGGAGAGAATAGAAAATTTAGTAAAGTTATTAAATTCATATCATCTTCATATTGAAAGTACTCAAATTATAAAATTATAAAAGTGTTTAGCTTAAATATACTCAAACCGATGGGTATTTAGGTTGTCATTTGATAGATCAAAATTCTTGTACCTTAAAGGTATACTCAACTCTTTTTCAAGAGTCTCACTCTGGAAATGGATATCGTGAGAATTTCATCGAGAACGGTGAGGACGATAAAAAGACGATAACTTCAGTCAACAACAAAGTGGTTTATGTAATTATAATTCTTTCTTTGCCTCCGTTGTGATTGGGTTAGCCGAATCTCCCAGATATCTGAGAGACTTGCTTATATTTGATGTGGATTCGATAAATAAGGAGTCGTGATGAATCATCAAGGACCATTCAGGTAAATTAATTTTAAGAATTTTCACTCTATCCCATTCTCTTGTGTGATTGTGTGTAGTTGAACGTATAGCTATAACGGGGCTTTCCCTAAAACTCACTATATATTTAGGGTCTACTATCTGGATTTAGCTTGAACAGTCCAACTACCTCATTTTGACCACTTTATCCTACTTATCTGAAGTCGAAATTATTATAGCGACTTCTAAGTGGCTTAATCAGATCTTTTAGCTCATAGAGCTTGTTTCTAAGGGAGTTTGTAGGTTTAAATAGCAATCTATTCCCAGCATTTTCCAACATTTAAAAAACCATTCCAGTAGGAGCTTGGGTTCAAACCTCCATTCCCATTCTATACTAAAATACAACATAAATACCTTCCCTACAGGTTTTTTAAATTTATAATTAAGTTGGATTGTTCATTACCTCAGTAAAAGGTGAACACGTACCTGCTTCAACTCACCTAGAACTGGATGTGAAAATTCGCATGCTTAGATCAAAGTAAGTATATCGAAAGAATAGAAGAATACGTGTCTATCTGATATTTTGAATTAAAAGGCACTAAAAACATAATCAATATGATGTATAGCTACCTGTCTTTATTGTTATGAATAGATTAAGGAATTGGCTGCTACAACTCTTCAATAGACCAATCATTAACGATCGACTTCATCTTGATCTAATCACCCAAAATGTGATTATGAACAATCGACTTTGGTGATGTCAACACGATTCTGATTGAAGTATACAAAACTTGTAGGTTTTCGCTTGCTATTTGCCTGATGGTAGCTACCAGTGAAATCTGGGACTCTTACTTCGTCTTATTTTGGGCTTGTCACTTGAGTGTGCCTATCTCCCAGTAAATAGTGTTTTTCTCACTGAAACTCGAACACAGCACACGTCGCATCAAAACGTTACAGTGTTATTCACCAGACTATTAATGCATGATAGTCACTTCTCGTTCAACTGGTATGAATTGTTATCGGGTGAGACTAAAAGTTATCCTTAAGTGCTATAGTGACTTGCGTGAAAATACGTATTTTGTGTATTTTGTAAGCATATACTATGAAGTGAATCATTTTTGCTGTAATTTGAAGGTTCAATTAACTTAATTGATTTGTGAACATCATTCTTCATAAATAAATGTACTCCAATCCCACATCCCAACTAGGAGGAGGAAGTACAACCATTACATTACACAAAAATAAATGATATGAAACATGATTCAATGACACAGAGCATCTTGGAAACTATGCAAACAGGTAAGTTATGCATACAGTATGTAAAAATACGCAAATTCATGCACAAAACGTTATACCCGTAAAATCACGGTTACATCTACGGACAACTTTTAGCCTCACCCATTGTCATCATTTATTGAAGCTTGTAATTTCTCGTTTTTTTATCGAATAGGCAGGGGATTCCATATGTCAACAGGGGTAGACAACTTCGACCTCATAAAATAACAAAAAATTCACTACCACTAAATAATATTATTTGTAATGCTGAAAACAATTTTTTGTTCCCTTTTTATCATGTTTGTCCCATACAACAAACAGTGTGTTTTATTTTCATCAGGTATATTTACATTTTAAGCTATACACAGCTGAAGATAAAGGTCAAAGGAGTTTTCATCATGGACTGACATCTCACTGAAAACTTGGGAGTACTGGACGGATGTTTAATTCTATTTTGGAGACTCTTAAACAGTATACACCCATGACGTAGTCTAAGATCGACCTCAGGAACACCAGATCTGGTGGCAAATATATTATCATTTAACCATCAGCTTGTAATCTCGTAAATTTTGTTTATCAACTCCTTATGATTTACAATATAGTGCGACCATAAACTAATATCATCGGTGAGCATCGACCCCACTTCCGACTTCAGTGAACACACAGCTTATGACTTAGCACTAAATGTTTTGAACAATTCATCTTGAAGTAAATTAGTAGTAAGCGCTTCTTCGTTTTATGGACCAAATGTTATAAGAAGTTATAATGTTGAATCGAAGTGAAAATCTCATCAACTGATAGAATTATAATTACATGTGTGAGAAAACTTTAGTCATAACGATATTCAAACCACCAGTTCCATTTCAAACAGCTTTCCACTACATAACCATCTGTCTGTACACTAATGTATGATAATTATGGATACATCTAAGCCCTTATTTAAATGAACTACTTCAAGGTTAATTTATCCTTGCTTCATCAGTCACATCACACACTTTCTTTATTCTGATAATAACTACAACACAAGTCTGCTGTTTGCCTGGAATTTACCAACTGAACATAAGCGTATCTAGTGTTCGAATTCATCAATCCAACACAAGTCACACTAGTGAATCACTGGTTTGATGGGTTCTCAAGGCCTTCTATTTTCTCTCAGTCTCTCTGTTACTCACTGTCTGATATTAAATGATATTTTCATTGTCTAGTGAATACCAATAATGAATGTCCGTCAATGTTGCTCTACCTGAGGTTGGAATGATTTCCAAAGATAATGTCACCAGTTAAACGCATATGTTCCCCATCCTTTAATCCGTAAGTTATTTCTCCTTGCTAGTAGATACATGAATGTTAAAAAGTACTGATGCATTGATGCAACAGCACTTCCTATCATCTTGGAGAACAATGTACCTACTTTAAGAAGAGTTAATCACTTTGCTTATAAATTATTGTGCTATGGATAACAAGGAGAATAAGATATTGCCACTCATAGGAATACCATCACTCACTGGAGTGAAGATACATTCAGCTGACGAGTCCCAAACCAAGCGAAACACATGTCCTTGATTCCAACGCTAGCCACCACCAAGTAAATTACAACATAAGGAGACTAAGAGTTTGAAATTGTTTTCTACTTACCCATGGTAAGCATAATTGTTGATTATTATGCAGTAAACCAACTTGCATAATTGGCAAATTTTCATACCTTCCATTGAGAGGGTCCGGTCGTGTAATTGCAATTATGATTGCATGATTCGGTCCCCAGTGAGGTAATAAGCCTTTACCAGCTAAGCCAGTACGTCCACATGGATTTAGTGGATAGCCAACAGGGATGTATTCTGATAATTTAGCGGCTGCTTTAGTTGGCGCAGTTGTTGAAGTGATATTAGTTGTCCTCGGATCAGTGATATGATCGGTCTGTCGAACTAAGCGTACTCTGCCACGCAATGACATTCGACTTACACCTTTGGTATTATCATATCCATTGTATGGGAGTGTTTGTGGTAAACTGTAGGGATACAATAGCAAAGGAAAGTTGAAATAGACTTTTTAATAAGTACTTCATTAAAATTCGACTTCTCAGTAGTATGTAATACTGATCGCCTGGTTTCCTTAGCCCAGTGATAGAGATTCACTTTCATTATAACTGCTTCACTATTGAAGGCTAGTTAGATCATGATGGTATCAAAAGAGACTCAAAAACTAAAATATTTTGGGCTAAGTGGACAGGGTGCTAATCTAGCACATACGTGAAATCTCTTTGAAGGAAACTCTTCTAAAGGAATAAAATCATCTGATTTACCACTGAAAAAAGGCTAAGAAACCTCAAAGCTCTGGTATGCACTGATGAAGAACTTCTCAGTAGCACGTAGTCTCGATCCCCTCTGGATAGGAATGAAAACAACTGTCATAACCAGCAAGAAAACAAAAAAGCGGGCTTTAGGCAGACACCATTTTTTAATGTTTATTACATTTAGATGTTTGAAGGCAGTCGATGAGTTTCGTCCCATTAGAACTCGTCAGTACAAGAGTCTGAAGCCCCGAAGATATTGATGTGCACCTATATCACCTAATGCCGGATTCAGTGACAAAACCACTGAGTTAACCGACCAGCGACTGCTTTCATGTATGAATGGATTGAATAAATTGAGTGGTCGCTACACAGTATCCGATTTCATTTATTATGGAGTTCTCACTCAGCAATTACTTATGCACCATTCACTTCCAGACCTTTGTATTGACTTCTCATTCATTTCCGTACACTTGTGGTTCCCATATAACTACACATAAAATAAGTTATCATGTGTAATTCTGTTTTGTAGACAGAGAATTAATCATTTATCCTTGTTTTCTTGTTGTATTCTGTGAGTTTCTGATTTCCATCATGCCTGCATAAGTCAGATGATTATCAGTCAACAATGTAAGTGAGCACTAACCGTGCCATCGAGTGAATGGAAGTTGGGAAGGCTAATTATGTGATTGAAATGGATTTGGACGATTGATTCTAAAGACTAACCTAACAACTGATGAAACAGCCAACTGGGTTTCTGTATTTTATAAAAATACTACCTTTCCAGGTGAAACAGAAGAACCTTATTGGTTATTTCAGTAGTTGCCAGAGTGAGTTGGAACTGCTTATTCTAGACCTTAGAATTGTATGCTGAAGCGATCACTTGTTCAAGAAAACTGTAAGTGAATTACCAATTCAGGTGATATGTACCTTCAGAATTTCTTCATTCCCAGCTAACTGTAAGTATAAGTACTTCGGCAACAGTAATGTTGACTGGTACAATTATCCATCGAGACCATTACATCTGATGAAATTGATAACATCATCGATTCTGTTGTAGAGAATCTTTCAAGGTATTGCATCAAAAATGTTGGCAAACATCTTACAGTTATATTATTGTCATCAAGAGTTATTTGTCTTCATGGTTTAAGAGCTATGCCTTATAGTATCAAAATGAAGGCGAATTTCAGAGCACAATGTAATCGTCTGCCTAGACAGTTTGAAATGATAAACATGAGTAGATTTAAGTCTCTTTCTTTATATATTAGTAGGCTATGCCTGAAATTATTTTAAAAACAATATTAGAAAAATGATGAAGAAGAAACATTGTTTCTCAAATATCACTGTTTTGTTTGAGGATTAGGAATGAGTTAAGAGAAGTTACTGAACCTAGATCTCATGCCTTTCACTAAGATACTGCTTGAACAACTCACTCACAACGTCTGACTGGTCGAGTTTCAGACACTTTAGGACGCATTAGCTAATTTAAAGTTGTAGGTCCCTCTGGCAGATGAGAACCAGAAATTATAACTACATAGTTCTAAACTGCCTTCTACCTGTCACCAACTATACGTGATGATGTTGAGCTACTTAGCCTAGTAGTTACGTAACAAAGAATATATCTAGTCAGTATTGTAGACTAAACTACATGACATTGATGTAAAATGCATTTTTGTATGACACAAGCTGTAGACAATCTTACTGTATTGATTGCCTGATGAAGTTAAGGAGTAGAATAACTAATCTTCTGTACTCGAACCCAAGAAGGAAGAACAGCAACTGTAATTGTGTTTAAACAGTCAAATGAATCCAACAGTTACGGTAAGTGAAGTTATCTCAATCATTCTGTGGTAAGTACACATATAACAAAATTTCTGTGTTATGCACATGTACGTGAAGTCTACAATGTGAACATCAATCAGAAAGCGAAAAAAACTGCCTAATTCATCCAAAGGATAAGAATGTTTTGAGTAATCTACAGAACCTTATTAGGCCTACTAGCTCGAATATGGGAGAATCACAAAACAAGTTACATTAAAAGTCACTCAAACAACTGCATAAATCATCAATTAGGTATCTATATTTTGTCTGAAATGGGAGTTTTCTATGAAATGCAAAAACAACTGGGTATTCTATATTAGATTTGTTTACTTGACATATAGTGTACAGTCATACAGTATTATTTACTTGATGACGACGTTTAGAGCATAGATTATCATTGCTCATAATCATATCAATGTAATCACACTACTTTTAACATATGATTTATATAGTCCTGTCACCTGATGCTCTTTGCTTTTATTGGTTGGGTGTTGATTAGATAAACAAAGATTCAGTAATCAATCTCTTTTTCCACCAAGTTATATTGGACTTAAGTACAGTGGTTTCATCCCACCCTATTAAGTGGTTTTGCGGATTGCAACAGTCGTGTTTTTCTAGACTGTTGGTCGTATTAAGATCTGTCATTCTATATTTAGCTAGATTCCCATGTTCTACTAGTCTAACTGACTTCGACCGGTTGGTTTGACTTGACCTTGGAGTCATTACAAGGAGTTCGATAGATAGGATCTTCAAGCCAACAAAGTTTATCTCTGACTGAGCTTGCAGGTTTAAATGCCACTCCGATTCCAGCTTTGTTGGGAATCCTACATAAAGTTTCCGAAATTCATTCTACTGTGTTACCCTACAAAGATTTCACACAGTTTCTTGATGAGTAAAATGAGCCAATTAATTTGTATACAAGAATTCAAGCAGTAGTAGTGTTATATGTGAATACAGACTTATGACTTGACTGTAAGAAAGAGATTTCTGTTCAATACAAAGACACTTACACATCTGGTCCATCTTCTACCTCCGGATATGGCAGAGCAATTCTATCATCTGTTACTGTAAATGTTCTATAGGTATCATAGGGAATCTAAAATTTAAGAAAGAAACATTGCATAATAAACGCTTGTCTACAATTAATAGTGTTCATTTAAACAAAGCAAAACAGTGAAACTTGAATTTTACATTCATTACATTAGCATCATTTCAAATTTATTAGCGATCCAGATTTCTATCTCACTATGTCAGGAACCCTTATTAACCTTCTATAAGTAAACGTATAGCATACTATCAAGCAATAACTGAGAATAAAAGTAGTTAGAATGGGAAGTCAGCTAAATTTGCATAATGTTGATGTTATTCTCTTGACGGTGGCTACCAGAGTAATCCATGACGTATGTTTCGTCTCATTTGGGATTCATCAGCCTGATACATTTGTATCCCAGTGAGTGATGATGTTACTACTGATTAACAGACTTAGTATTCTTCGATGCAAATGCATAGCTTTATCCTAAGTCACGAGGATACGTGACACGTATCAATTGTTATTTATTGATACTTCTAATATACCTTCCTTAAAGTGCATCGAACTGAACGATCTCCATTAGCATATAAGCTCCTGTGGACGCTAACAGAGGTTGATCAGTTTAACCCATCATAATACGTATCTAGAAATAATGATTTTGTATTATTTTTGAACGTGCATTCCAGTAAACTACCTCTAGGGTTATTTAGTTTCTTTTCTTTGACAACGGTACTATCATTCACTAGAATATATTTTGACGACAATTTCTATACCATTCAAGGGATGAAAATAAATTTAAAGAGCCACAACCTGATCTACATTTTGCATCATGCTGACATTACATCAAGTTGATTCTTTTTGATTTGTTTTAATCATTTAGATATCTCTTCAAATTGTATAACTTACTGCCGTACACTTTAAAATTGTTTCCACTAATATAACAGTAAAATTTGGGCGTAATGTGGTAGTAAACAATAAACCAGCATTATTTACTGGACTCACTTATCTAGGTAGCACTGTTGCAATTACAGGCGGCATAGATGAGGACATCAAAGCAGCCAGGATCGGAAAAGCAAGACAGGTGTTCATTAACCTGAAAGAAGTGTAGAGATCTTCTGCACTCAGCATAAAGCGTGAACAAGATCCGGATTTTCAACACTTATACTAGTCAAGTCAGTGCTTCTATATGGTTCAGAAACTTGGCACGTTATGAAAGGCATTTCCAACAAACTACACACATTCATCAACAACTGTCTACGCTGGCTCATTACTGAAGCTCAGATGGCCAGAAATAATAAGCAACAACGACCTCTGTGATCCAACTAACCAACAACCTATTACTCAAAAAATATGCAGAAGGAAGTGGGGATGGATTGGGCATACACTGAGAAGACCAGTTTGGGACATTACGCGCCAAGTCAGGCCGTCGAGTGGAACCCAGATGGGAAACGACGAGTTTAACGTCCGAGGTTGACATGGAGGAGATCGCGTTAGAAAGAAATGAGAGCTTGAGGGCAGTCGTGGAGGCAGGTTCAAAAGATTTTGGAGAAGGTAGTGGAATGGAGGTGTGCTACTGAAGCCCTATGTTCCATTAGGAACCCAAGGGACAAATGATAGTTTACCGGACTACATTTTCAGCAGATTTTATTGCATCTATTCATATCAAAGTAATCAAACAGGTTTCGAAATTAGCTTTTGTGGTCTATAATATCTGATGAATCATTCCTCTTACATTTGTTAGGTGTTTTCATGCAACGGATAAAAATTCCATGACCAATTGCCCTCTTAAACCAGCTATATTGGACTTTAGAAGTGTCATCCTATCCTATTTTATAGCATGAAGATCGATTGGTGAGTTATTCTTAGTAGGATCTAACATCCCATGTTTCACTAGATTTTAGTGCTGCATCCTGTTGACTCACTCCAGCCGGCTACTTAAACCAGTGTACTTGACCTCACAATCATTATATGTCATTTCATAGGTTACTGTATTTTACTGGATTGGCTGTACCAGACCTCTTAGCCTACAGAGTGTCTCTGAATGAGTTTGTGGACCTAAGTGCCACTCTAGTCCCAGAACTGTTACAAATCTCTTCCGATATGCCTTCTTTATATGGATCGTAATTAATTAGTGTTGACTCTTCAATGTTCATAAGTTGCTTATTTAGATTTTCTGACTCACTGCCACAGTTCCTAGCTCAGTTACTTAAAAATTCTACACAGTAGCTCTCAGTATGTCGTAAATGTCTGAGGCAGATTAAAGTAAGCATGTCAGATCTCAAAGAAGAACGGTGTCATTTTCGAGCGACTATCAAACGACCCTGAAATGACAAACTATGCTGAAAGCGATTGACTCTAATTCACATATCATTTTATGGGGCTTCATACGAATAATTTAGAACGGCTAGGGGACCATTTGAAGACTTTTTAATGGGCACAACACCCTTCAAAAGGTTTAGTGTTATGCAGTCACATAGATGAGTGTCTTTATCGCACATATTTTGAATTAGGGATGTAAGAAGTAGTTGAAATCTCACTCGACTTCTGAAATCACGTTAAAAAACCAATGCATATTTTAGTTTTGGTTCCTCCAGCTTGTCTCACGGATTGTATTTCGTTTCTCTTCCTTCATCACTGGGTCTTTTCCTCTCTACAGTAACATGGAGTAGAGAGATTTCATACTTTTGTGAACTATGTCTATCGTGAACCATTTCAATAGAAAAACTCTAGTCACGCTAGCATCTGCTTTGTTCCACACAGTGTTTTTGTCTTTTTGTTTTGTAACCGATGACTGATAATTACGATAAATATCATCTGAACAGTATGCAGAAGTCAATAAGATCTAGAAAACTGAATCAAATTACCTGCACACTTTCAAGGAGTATATACTGGGGATCCTTTGAACCTAATGCTCTTACGGTTTCCTATTTCGAAGTGTCAAACCCAGACTCATCAGTAAGTACTACCATATAGAACTAGTAGGATGGGATAAAACAAACACTGAAAAGTAACTCAGCAGTTGCATGTAGGTACTTGTCTTATGAGGTTTCTAATGCTAATTTGAAGCCGAACTCAGAACGTTGACCCTCTTAGCAAAAGTCACATACTTAATTTAACGACTCACTGAAGGAAACTGAAGTATAGCTATCCAGTATTCCGTGGTTTATAGTGGTCTTTTCTTTCACAATGACTTGCATTGCGAAATAGTTATAGAATTATTCATAAAACACCATCGAAACGCATCTGGATAATTCAAATATTTATCATAAAACTTACCTTCCAGTTAATTTTATCTGGGGGTACATTCATTCGAATCCCCGGATAAATTTCAAAATTGAACGGCACAATACGCCATAATCGATGACTTAAGATAAGACGTTCGTAAATTTTTCCTGAAGCTGGTGCTGCACGAGGTCCACGTGATGGTGGTCCTTTTTGCGGTGTTAAAACGATATCCGCCTCCGGTTCCTCGCCATTACTCCTGGTCAAAATAGCTTTGATACACTGCTCTTCAATTCTAAGTCTACAAAATAAGAAAACGTATTATATATTAGAATATTTTAACGTATTTTACAACGTTTCGTATCTATAAGATTTATTTTTCATAATCATATCAAGATAAGTCCACAGTTTCAAGAGATTGATGATACTATTCCTTTCAGGCAGGTAAGCATCTTAGACTGACACTAGTCAGTGGAACATTTGAAACCTGTGAGCACAGGACGGCCGTTTCGTCCTAGTATTGGAGTCCTCAACAGCGCCTAACCATGACCTCATCCTACAAGGGGTCGGGCCCAGAAATTTTAGGCTCTGCAACCAGCACGTAACCACTGAGTCACTAGTTTTCCTACTACTGTGAGTTCACTACGTAGCGTGACCTCCATCCAATATCATTGTTGAGTAACTGTCTTCATGTCTGACTTGACTGACCCCACCTGTCCTGGGTTCGATCCTTGGCAGAGTCATAGGCGCTCACTGCTGAGGAGTTCGGTACTACGACTGATAAGAACAAATTAACCCTTGTGACCACTTTCATTCATGCAGTTGATTACTGCAACGAACTTATGACGTCGGTGGGTTGGTAGACTGTGATATATATATATATATATATATATATGAAAGGAAGAAATGTTTCGTGGGAAGGTTGCAACCACCATCATCGAGTTACATTCTTGGTGCTTTACCGACCTTCTTTCTTGACTAAAGTTTTCATATGGCAGTCATTTGGTTTTGCAATGACTACATCAAAACTGGACTGCTGAGTTATTTTATGTATGACAGGGTCATTATGATCATCTAAGAGATAAAAAGTGTTTTCTTAATTAAAAGTTTTCGATTTAAAAGCAAATTTACTGGTCTTCATTGGATCCATTAAAATGAAAGTAATGTTAAGTGGCTGAAAAATATTAACAGAATGGTCTATCTAACTATGGTTCAAGGATTACTGGGAATTGTCTGGTGAAAAATAATTTATTTATAAGGATTTGAGATGAGATCGCTGAGCTGAGCTGACGATATTTATACTAGGTGGACACCATCAAGTCTGCAGCAATAATCAAATAACTCGAACTCCTGAGTTTGAAGAGCTTTTTTACTGATAGTAATTTTTGATAAGATAGAACTAAACTCAGGGTAGTATTTATCACGGACTGACATCAGTCAGAGAACCACCAGAAGCCTAGGAGCACTGGTTAACTATTTTATCCTACCATGGAACTCCTCAGGAGTGTGTACCTATGACTCTGGGAGAGATGAGGTGAAGGATCATCGGATCTCGTGGTGAGCGCTTCAACCACTCACCTATTGGGTTGGCAACTTCCTTTGAAGGATATAATTTCTTTATTTATTGGGCTTTTCTTTCGATATGACTAAGCTTTCAATTGGTTGTAGATTTTGTTGATTCAATTGAAAATTAACAAAAAGTCAAAAGTGAACCATTCACAAAGATTAGCTATTCCAATAGAATCAATGATCATACTAACAATGTTAGGCAGTCCTGCAATAGAATAGGATGGTAAGGAAGTCATTGTCAGACCACAGAGGAGCACGTCAACTATAGTCGTGAATAAATCTGATTACTACCAAAAAAAACTCAATGAACACATTCCAATGGATCAAAATAAATAGATTAAAAAAGCCTGTAAAAGGTGGTATAAACAGAATTACAGAAATCCATAATCTTTCTACTACACCAAATGAGTCCATATTTGGGCGAATCAGAATCGTGTAATGTAACACCTAAAACTAATAATCGCAGCAGATTGTGTGATGCTCACTAGTAGAACTAGGAGATCAGTTATGGCTCACCTCTACAATTTGCGAATTCCAAGAAGAAGTAGAAGGAGGAATATCAACGATATCGCCATTACTTCCAGTTGTAGCGAAATTCTTGTGGATAATAGGGAATGTGTGACTCTTGCAATATTTATAACGATCTTCTTAAAAACCAAGATTAGCATTCTAAGTTACCAGTCACTAAGGATTTCAACCCTATTTTATGTAACTATGTGGGCCGAAAGAACACTATTGGACAGTTTTGTCCTACAGCTGACCAATCAGAATAAATATACAACTCGGGATCCTGTTGCTTTATCTGTTGAGGAAAAGCTGTACATAAATGATGTATTTTTTGTCAGATAAAGTTATCTTCTTTACAGTTACAAGACGGTCTTTGTTCTCTGATTTTCGTGGTTCAATGTAGTATCAGGTCTGAGGGAGAACAGTCGCTATTCTTATTTTTAGTCCAAACATCTCACTGCTTTTGTGGTGTTCTCCTATTTCGTATTATATTATCAGTTACTACCATATAAGATGAAGTCCAAGCATCACCATACCTTCTTCTGACATAAACTCCGTAGTAAAACGGATTCAGCTTACTTACCAATTAGAAGATGAATATGGAGAATTGGCTATATTGAATCACAAAATAAGACGAATTTAATATTGAAGACTATGACACTCTACTAGATACCTAGACATTTGGTTATCCCGCCTCAAATCAGTGAAGACAGGCTTCGTCAGCTGTATAACCGATCACCATGGAAGTCTGACTAGTAAGCTTGACTAATTTAAACAAAGAAACAAACGAACTAAGATAAACATCTCTATTCATTAAGTATGCTCTGAAATTCATCCAGAAGTCGTTAGGCCTGATAACAAGGAAGACGTAGTAGTGTGAATAACGACTTCAGTACAACTAAAGGGGAACTTAAGGTCTCTGTCACGCTACCGTATAAGGGAAGGTGTAGAATTTCTAACAGGCCTGAAATTTAGACCGAAAAATTCACTTTGAGACAAAAACTGTCGGCTTAGGGATTTCATTGACCGAATTAGACAAAATAATTTGATTTGTCAGATATTATACGAAGGTTGTAAGGTCAAGTGTATATGCCAAACCAGCCGAATGGATGTGATCAGTTTAACAGAGCGTTAGAGATTACCTAAGTTTAAAATGAATGACAGACCACACCGTGAAAATTAATCTTGTAAAAAACTCAGACTGTCCTATGCATACTGTGTCACATAATCTGGGCAATAAAGTGGGTGATCAGTCAGTCAGTATCACTATTGGACCTGGTATTATTGGGTAACAGTTCAAAATGTTACACCACATATCGGTGCTTCATGGGAGAACGCACTCAGATAAAAGATAAAGGAGTAAGGAAGTGAATAATCAGAAGTGAAAGAAGATCGTGGAAACAGAAAAAGAAGGAGTGAGACAATGGTTAAATTAGGTAAAACGATTAACATGAAAATAATGTGTGGATACATCTGTTTCATTGTGATCGATCTTTAGCAATATCGCCTTTGGTCTCCAAACACCGGTTTCTGTTGTCATGAGGATATCAACCAGGGAGTCTATATTTTCCAACACAAGAACTTTAGGGATTGATGCCGTTTTTAATCTGACCACCCCTTTCATTTATCTAACGTGAATCTACTTCAGCTTACAATGTAAGATGAATTGATGGGGATTAAGCGTGCATATCAGATGTTCCAGTTACCTGAGTTGATGAGGGGTTGCAGCCTCACTAGCTGATTTTCCTCTTCTGTCCAAAACTCCACATTCAGTTTCTATAGTAATCACGTGGTGATACCAAGACATATGACCAATGATATGAAGACAACGGTGGTCGAACGCTTTAAGCCCTTTCATTTCCTCTACCTTTGATGACCATATTTCACAACCACGAAGGAGAACAGAGGAAACTGTAGCATATTACACTCAACCCTTAACTGACAATCAAATCTCACAGTGGCGCCATAAATGGTATACGTTTGCGAAAGTCAAGAAAGAGCAAAATGTACGGTTAATCACCGAGTTTCTGTTCATAAAGTTACCACCAAACGCGTGACTCACTGCCAGATATTTGGAAGGTAAATGAGGCATACAAACTATACAAGAAAGCTATGCGATCCTCTTCATACTTTTGTAAACAATAATTTATGCTCGAAACGTTATTCAGTAATTAACACTGTATTGCTATGTGCCATATAAAGCAAGCATATCCAGTATGGGACTCAACTCCACTATACTGGCCAAATTCTACGCTTATAATATGTGAGATTTTTCTTGACTCATCTCAAAGCACTAATGACCCATCTCTATTAGTTTGTGCTGATGATTCTGTCTAGAATTACAATTAAACCATCCAGCTTAGAGAACATAGCGCCACCAAGAATTAATCTGTTTTATTACCACTTTGTCGGCAGAACTACGTAGGTTACCCACTAGTGACAAACGCGTGTATGCAGTCCGGTCCCACAATGAATCAGTAGTGGTCTGAAAAGTTTAGTGGTCCAACCTCTGACTTCATCAGTATGTGATGGGGTTTGAGTCACCTAGGGGACACAAAATACTCCATGGTTGCAGAAACACCTTGCTGATAAGTCCCAAAAAATGCAAATGATGGGTCCCGGGCTTTCTGTAAATCAACTCCTATAGTTTAACGCAGTGAATTAATTTTTCTGGACCCCGTAAAAGTTGTGAAGGATCCTGATGGATTGTTTACAACCCCTTCATGGTATCGCTTTGCCTTGATCTCATCTAAATTGACACTTCCTGATGGAGTATACCTACAACTATGAAGAAAATGCTGCTCCTTCGGTGGTACGGATCCATGTATTCAATATCTGTGGACAGCATTTGTAAGTCTTCAACCGCAACACTGAGTGGCACAAACTCGAGTTATTCAAAGAGATATGTGAGTTGCGAGACGAGTAAATTTCATTCATTATCGAATACAGTGCACCACTATGGAGAACCACAATGTTCTTCCTGCTTGCAATCAAAATGTCCGCTACAGAATTCAGTCAACATTCAAAAAATATTATTATTATTATTTTTCCCTTGGGTTCCTAGTGGAACATACGGCTTCAGCAGCACGCCACCATTTCACACTCTTCTCTCCAGTCTTTTCAACCTGGCTCCACCACTGCCCACAAGCTTTCATTTCTTATTCACATGATCCCCTCCATGTCACCCTCACCTAGGATGCCCATCTCGTCGATTCCACTTTGGGTTCCACTCGAGTGCCTGGCCTGACAAGTGCTGTCTCCGAATGGTCTTCCCAGTGTATGCTCAATTCAATCCATCTCCACTTTCTTCTATATATTTGTCGGGCAATAGCTTCTTGAGTGGTTCATTCTCAGAGTTCCTTGTTGCTTATTCTGATTATTCGGGCGATCTGATCTTCAGTATCGAGCGTAGGCAATTGTTAGTGATGTATGTCTGTAGTTTGTTGGAAATCCATTTCGTAACGTGCCAAGTCTCTCAATCATCGCATAGAAGCATTGACTCACTTGACTGACATTAGTGTTGAAAATCCGGATCTTGTTCACACTTTATGCTGAGTGCAGTGCAGTAGATCTCCACACTGATTTCAGATTATTGAAAGCCTGTCTAACTGTCTTTCTGATCCTGATTTTGACATCCTCGTCTGTAATTGAAATGGTGCTGCCTAGATAGGTAGGTGTAAGATATCACTTCCATTAGGTTTTTCCTGTTGATGGTGATTGGTGCTTGTTGTTGTTGTTGTTGTTGTTGTTGGGCATCTTAATCACTTCTGTCTTTTCTACCTTCACCTAGAGGAAGCCTCATGTTCGCTGCCTGGCCTGGCCTTCCCTGTTCTGCCAACTTATTTGTTTTTTGCTGTACATCTTCGAGTCTGTGTTTCATTAGACAGAAATCATCGGCAAAATCGAAATGTTGCAGACTCTTTTCGTCAGTTCAGCCACCGTATACCATTCTTCTCGCTCCTCACAGTTTTCTACATAATCCAGTCGACTACAATCAGGAAAACCATGGGTGATAGTAGACAGCAACATTGTCTTACTCCTGTCACAACTTCAAAGGTGTCACTGAGCTTTTCATTGTGAATCACTTGGCATGTGACATCGTCATATAATTGTTGAATAAGGTTGGTAAATGTTTGTGGCACTCCGTATTGTTAGTAATGCGGTATTGAATACTGTGCACAGACTGATTACTGTGGGGTTTACACATAAGCCAATCTAGCAGAGGACGTTTTAGCAATGGGTTAGCTCAGCTATAATATTTCTGACACAGACTTCAATCTTTAGGGGGAATTAAGTTTGATGTCATAAATCACAAAACGTAAGTGATGTGAGCTCACGCGCTGACTAGAAACAAAAATGTTGTACTCATTAAAGGATAATACTGTTCTAAATCCACCAGACGGATAAATGTAATTCACTGACTTAAAAAAGACCCATAATTACTAGAAGAAATACTCCTGAATATAATGCAGATGAATGTAATTGGTTATTGTCTTACTTCTCTTCAATCTTCTCTTCAATAATGGTACAATGTGAATCAAGACCGGTGACAGCTGCACAAACTGCCTTCACCAATAAGTTTTCATTGTCTTCTTTACATTTATTCACACCATCTCGTTTACCCCAACCAACAAGACGTTTACCATTGGATGGATTTAGACACTTTATTACCTAAATTATGAACGGTATAACATAAAGATGGTTGATTAAAAAAACTATAATATAACACTTTAGTTGGATTCTCTTTTCAAAATTACCATTGTTTGAATGCGATAGAATGATTATCACAGAAATGAACAATTCAATCGGTAATTCATACTTAACATCTAAGTGTAATTAGATTGCATTGATTGGTCACGGGAGTGTAACCAATTTCATATTGTCTAGTCCTGAGTGCAGACTGAATTCTATCGATCATATTTGCAATGTGGCAACCAAGCTAGGAAGCTCAGCATCGCAGTGCACATTAGTGGATGTTAGTTGGTTGGAGGTAATCTGCAGGAAGACCTGGTTGGCCTGGATTTCGTGCTTTTAGGCACTCGTCAGCATGGAGTGCCTGCAACCTCGATAAGACCGACGTCGCGCCGGAGATTCGAACCCGCGCCACCCAGTATTGCAGTCAGCGACTTTACCACTGAGCTATTCCATACCCGACTAACCTCCCACACTCTTGTGACCAATCAATATATGTTAGGCAGTCCTACAGGAGGTCAATCGTGGTCCGAATAGCTCAGTGGTAAAGTTGCTGATTATAACACTGGGTGGTGTGGATTCAAATCTCCGGCGCGACATCCGTTCCATCGAGGTTACAGATACTCCATGCTGACGAGTGGCATGAAAGCACGAAACCTAGGTCAAGCAGGTCTTCCTGCGGATCACCTCCAACTAACTAAGATTGTATAACTTCTGTTCAAGTTCATATCCGTAGACAGGTTATTATACCCGACGAATGCCTTCATAACCAATCTCAAAAGTTGTTACATAAACTGGGTTACCTTGACTTAGCATTTCTCAACCATTAAGAGGTTGGAAGAGAACTGACTGTATATTGGTCATATTATACTGTTATAACGTGATATATAGTGAAGTTTTCATCGTTACAAAAAGTCAACAAGTTTGATGGTGATCTACTGATGACTGAAAATGGAATACAAAATTGAGTATCTTCCTAGATAGCTTCAGTTTTGAGATGTGAATGTACTATTCATCACTTTTAATTTGCGAAAGGTAACCCAACAAACTTTAATTCAGAGGGAGAAAGTTTTACTCAGTTAATTTGTTTTAATGAATCTAAATTTTTACGGAAGGTTGATTTTTACCATGTTTTACTTTAGATACTGGAAATGAGCCCACTAAATCTCTACTTTACTCAAATTTCAAGATCAAGGTATCCATTATTGACACCGTTGAATAATTCAATTCAGTTTTGATGGTTTTTAAGCTGATTTCATATACATAAAATAAGAAGAGACCAAAAAATTTAACAAAGATTTATACCTCCTTCTGCTGTTCATTTATATCTTTTAATATAGACATTACACGATTTGCACCTTGAATCAGTTTTCCTAAACGTTCTTCAAAATTTGAAAGTTTGCCAATTTGATTACCCAATTCATAAAATCTATCTTCAATAAATTCAGTTTCTGGACCAAATATAGGTCCAATCCCTTCTAATAAAGATCCTGGTTCCCCAGCGACATCTCCATGACCACTAGTACCACCTGAAACTAAACCTTTACCGGCTGCAACACCTCCAGTTGCTACAGATCTTAAGACGATTGCATGAGTATCACTACGTGATCTTCCTGTCCATTTACGACCACCGCCAACATCTGTATCGGCTTTAATGCGTCGAGTACCCATCATATGTTCCCATTTGGTAAGTTTTCTATCCAATGTTGGATTGGTGTGTAAACTTCGACCTGTAAAGAAGTAATAATAAACCATGAAAAATGTACATGAAAGGCAATTAAAATTACTTCAGACTGTTCATGGACAAAGCTAAAGTTATCTGTAAAAATCTGATCACATATGAACTTGTCAAGTCAAATTCTATTCAACCAAAGAGTGGGAAGAAGAACATAACAACTGAGATAACACGGGATTGAAATTAGGAAAGATAAGAACAAAAAGGAAGTGATATAATTGATCCTAATCTTGGTAAGAAAACAAATTTTACCAAGGTAGGTGTAGTACAAGAACAAATTGTTTTTGTACACACAAAGGTGGTTTCAGTTTGTGTATGGCTATTGTTCTCGCAAATTTCGATGTGCGTCGCGTACTGCTTCCATATATTAAACCTTGAAAGCTATTTGAACAATAATATGTGACCTTTCAAAAATATGTTTCACTATAGATGAAGAGAGTCATCTATCACGTGGGACTTATCATGGTTTCACACTCCATTTGTTTTTGAATCCATTTAGATACATGTTCTCCAATCACATCTTCTAATTACACTATGTAAATATAATGAAATCGTTTATCTTAAAGTATGAATAATCGGTGAAATTCATCAACAAACGAAATACCTACTCATCGTAGACTAACATCATTTGGAGGAACAAAGGAAACCTGGGAGCACTGGACAGCTGTTTCGTCCTAGTATGGGACTCCACAGTAGTGCGCACCCACGACTCCGCCAGCGATCGGACCCGCGACCTTCAGGTTCCATGACTAGCACGTTACCATTGAGCCACTGAGCCAGAATACAGTGGTTAATATTTCTATTTTCTGTTAGCTCACGATATAGCGTAACTGCAACCAAATGTCATCGTTGAGTAACTGCCCTCGCGACCATCAGGATGAAAAAGCTGTCCAGTGCTCCCAGGTTTCCTTTGTTCCTCCAACTGATGTCAGTCTACGATGAATAACAATTTGAAACATTTCCAACTTTTCATAACTCCCTTAAAATTCAAACGAAAGAGTAATTTAACACCGGAATCTATTCAGTGTTTAGTTCTGAACGAGAACTAATGTTTGGGGACGATTAATATAGTTTTTTTTTGGGGGGGGGGGGAAGGATTAAGTTAGTACGTAGCCAAAGTCGAACGTAATAACAAAAAATAGCTTATGCTTATGCAAAAAACAAAACAACACGGGTGACTGCATCACATCCCCATGTATGAGTGTGTGAAGAAGAATGCATAGGGCGTAATGATCATCAGACTCAGATGAAGGTGGCTGAACTATATAAGTGTTGTTGAAAGCAAGTGACTTTGAACAATAAATTAATTCCAGGGGATAAACATCCATTTCATCTATTGCCAGATATACACTGGAAGCTAGTCGTAACTTTTAATCCATTGTGTGAAAATAGTCTAGGTCTGAAATCCTAGTCACCCGTAACTTTAACAGTATCGATTTCAATTTCATAGTAAAGGTGATATGATTCTAATTTCGTTTCACGGTTACCACCGTTCTAAGATTCATTGCATCTATTGCATGAACTTGTTTGACAAAAAAGTAATTTTCATAGAATCGTAGAAATAACAGTTTCAAAATGGTCTGAATCTAAGCTAAATACCAACCCATCAACTGTGAGGAACTAGAAAGTTTTTAAGTCTTTCTAACAGTGAGGTCAGTCTTGGAATATCTTAGTACCGAGTTTGAACTCAGAAGAAGTTTCCATCATGATATCATAGTTAGGTTTACTGGTTATTATCAGATGCATTGACAAAATGCCTACCCTTCGAGTTCCTGTTATGTCAGGAAGGTGCCGCTGGGAACAAGAAAAGAATATACAGTACTATGAACAGCGAAATGGTTACAGAAATGAGAGTTCATCAGCACTAGAGAGTTTTTGACAAACAAACAGCTTTTTCAGTTTCCATACTGCCATATAAAAGGAATTAGAAATAGGTGAATAGATCTTCATTACTGACTGCAACTTTCTCATAGCAAGAACCTAATTCCATTAACGATGGATAGTGGCTGGCAGTGAAACGCAGTACGTGTGTTTAGGAATCGTCAGCTAAATGTACTTGTCTCCCAATGAACGATGATGTTCCCACTAGGACTCGAGACCGATTGTTTCAAACGTCAGAGCGTTATCCACTGGACCACTGACTCATGATAGCCAGTCCTTGTGCGACGGGCATAGTTTTAATGCTATTGCTTGTGTTATCCCGTCGTTGAGTAGATAGACAAATACATCCAGCTGACGAAATGCGCTTCCTGGATTCCACTGCTAGCCACTACCTATCACTAATATATAACTTAAACACAGGCAATATCGAGGCATCCACACACGAGCCCATATGCCAAAAGAGACCGATCAATTCGGTCCACCTAACGACGGGATGATACAAAAAGCAACATAAGAATCTAATTCTAGTTAATTGAAAACCACTTACTTCCTAAAGGACTCATTCTACTGACCTCATTTAGACGCTGCATTAGGACTTTCATTTATTTTTTGTTAGTGGTGCAACTATAAACTTATATTAGTACTGGCCTACAGTTACATATCTTAAAAACAAACCATCTGCTACGTGGTCAGCCAAAAATTGACACACATTTCCATGTGTTTAACCATAACAGTAAGTACTTTTCATGAAATCTTCCACAACCAACTGAGAGTTTGTCACAACCTATGCTTACACAATGCTTGTTATTATCATATCTAAAGAAAAACTGTTTGAAGTTCTCTTTATAGTCTTAGAAACCAATTTACTGTACCAACTTTGTTTGTCGTAAATAAGACACTAGGAGATAACTACGAAACGCCTATCAATTTATCAAATCTAAAAAAACGGCGGTTTGAATAACCGAGTGACTGAGCCTGAGACTGCAGCACTGAGTGACAGACTCGGCTATGTGATTCAACATCAGTTCCTTTGAGATAGCCAACAAGACTTACCGGAGACTACAAACAACCACAAAGCCTAGGTCAAGCAAGACTGTGTGGTGATCTCCGTTAGCGACTTAAGACTTAGCTGGTTCAAGCAACATAACCCTGAGGGGTTAATGTGTTCATCAGAGCAATGAACAGAACCATCGTAATTATACATAAACAAGTTCGATATATGAAAAGATTCATCGGTGATCTTGTCTTATTATTGTTACACAACAAACGAAAAGTAATTGGAGCACTGAGATATTAGGATGTCACTTGTATGGTGGTGGCCTGTGGTGGAATCCAGGATCCAGATTTTACCCTACTTGAGAATCGTCATCTGAATGGGCCTGAGACCTAGTGAGTGACGGTGTTCTCACTGAGAATGGAACCCCACACCCTTCGCTTCAAACGACGTGGCGTTGTCCCCTAGGCAACTGATACGCGATAGCCACCTCTTGTGACCATTATTTATTATTGCTTTTTATTTACCTTTGTTATACTGGATCAAATTGATCGACCCGCTTTTACATATAGGTTCCTATGGATGTGTCTTGATACATATTGATACATGTGGCGAGTAGAAATTTCAAACAACACTTTGTACTCTTTGCACAGGAGGTGACTGTTGTTCCTTGGTAGCCTAGTGTATAACGCCTTGCAAATGAAGTGAGGGGTATGGGTTAGAGTCCTACTGGGGACAACACCATTCACTAGGGCACACGTGTCAGCGAATCGCATCACAATGAATTTTCAGACAATATCAAGGCATCCACACAGAAGCCTATATGCAAACAGATGTCGAGGAATTCGAGCCAGTGTAGAAACAGGAAATGACAAGTACCAATAAACGATAAATAAAATATTGTACATTCATAGGTCACCAGACTAATCAGTGTCATTTCACCAAGTTTTTCACTTTAATTGAATCTTATCGATCAAACTGCAGTGTAGCAAACAAACTGGGTGACTCATCAACGCAGTGAACTTTGATAAAAATTAGTTGGTTGGAGGTTATCGGGGGAAAGCCCTTATTAACCTACCTTAGTGATTGTAGGTGGAAGAGTTAGATTAGTGACGTGAAATTCACTAGTGCGCAACACGATTGGTAGCTACAGTCAATTGAAAGTAATGTCATCATCGAGTAACCTCAGACGATGAGCTATAGACGACCTGAAATCATTGAACAGCTGTTTGATAGTAGACTGGATCATTTTGGTAGTGTGAGTATCCAAGACCTTGTAGAGAGTCAAGCCCAGATGGGGACGCACTACTGAGTTGTTCTAAACCGAGGTAAAAAAGCTGCCCAATGTATCAAGGTTTCTAGTGCTTCTACAACTTGTGATAGTCCGCAAGGAGAACTGGTTTCAAATTAATTAATCCTTATAAAAAACACCGAAATTACTGTCTTCTGACCAGCCTTGTTGTTAAGCAGTAAACTACTTATAAGTAAGCGCAGAGATAATTCTCAATTCTTAGAAACAAATCCAATTCAGGATAGTTTTCTTCAGAAAAGAGAAAAAATAAATTATTAGTGGGAAGAACGTACAGAAAGGATCGTCATCCTTGATCTCTTCGAATGCACAATCAAATACAGCACTACCGATGAGATTGAATAGAAATCCAGTAAATTCTACTGAATACCAGATCAACATGAATGGTGGGGCAACAGATGGTCTATCAACAAATTCTTGTATCATTTCATAACGTTGATAACACCAAAAGTATTGAGCAGATCCTTCAATTTCATTATATGTCGAACTTAAAAATAGTGAAAGATAAAGAGAAAATTATAATGAACATGACTGCCAACGATTTTTATCATTTAAGTAGAGATAACAGGTCAGTAGAGGAAATCTTGATGACGATATAGTTTTCTCAAGCTATTCATAACTAGGATAACGATTTGTAAAGTGCATTGTACCACAGTCAGAATAAACTCGAGAGTATGCATAACACTTTGACATGTACACTAATCTATCACTGAAGGATAACTCGCCTGAATACTACTGCATATCTAGTGCAAATCGAGGTGTATTGACTGGTTATGCAATGTATTTGTGTAGCAACTTTTGTCAACATTGTTATTCACTGCCTTCCCAATCACTTCGCTGGAAGCAGTTTCTAAGCAGCTTCGCTTCACTTCTCTGTAAGGTACTACAATAAATTTAGAACTGATGCCTCCTTCCATGAGAAACTAGAGACCATATCACACAACGGTGATTGTTCAAAATGTTTTGTTTTTGTGCATGCACATGGAACAGACTTCTAGGCAATAATAATAATTATTATTCTTTGTCCCTTGGGTTCCTAATGGAACATACGGCTTCAGCAGCACGCCACCATTTCACACTCTTCTCTCCAGTCTTTTCAACCTGGCTCCACCACTGCCCACAAGCTTTCATTTCTTATTCACATGATCCCTCCATGTCACCCTCACCTAGGATGCCCATCTCGTCGATTCCACTTTGGGTTCCACTCGAGTGCCTGGCCTGACAAGTGCTGTCTCCGAATGGTCTTCCCAGTGTATGCTCAATTCAATCCATCTCCACTTTCTTCTATATATTTGTCGGGCAATAGCTTCTTGAGTGGTTCATTCTCAGAGTTCCTTGTTGCTTATTCTGATTATTCGGGCGATCTGATCTTCAGTATCGAGCGTAGGCAATTGTTAGTGATGTATGTCTGTAGTTTGTTGGAAATCCATTTCGTAACGTGCCAAGTCTCTCAATCATCGCATAGAAGCATTGACTCACTTGACTGACATTAGTGTTGAAAATCCGGATCTTGTTCACACTTTATGCTGAGTGCAGTGCAGTAGATCTCCACACTGATTTCAGATTATTGAAAGCCTGTCTAACTGTCTTTCTGATCCTGATTCTGACATCCTCGTCTGTGCCTGTGGCGTCTGTAATTGAAACGATGCCGCCTAGTTAAGTGAAAGAGACTACTTCCATTAGGTTTTTCCTGTTGATGGTGATTGGTGCTTGTTGTTGTTGTTGTTGGTTGGGTGTCTTCATCACCTTTGTGTTCTCCACATTCACCTGAAGGAAGTCTCATGTTCGCTGCGTCTTCTGTCAACTTGTTGGTTTTTGCCTATAAATGTTCTAGTTTGTGCGGCATTAAACATAGATCATCGGAGAAATCCAAATGTTCTACTGTATTTCCATCGGTTCAGCCATTCTGCCATTCTTCTTGCTCCTCATGGTTTTCTGCATGATCCAGTCGACTACAATCAGGAAAATCATGGGTGATAGTAGACAGCAACATTGTCTTACTCCTGTCGCAACTTGAGAGGTGTCACTGAGCTTTCCATTGTGAATCACTTGGAATGTGACGTCATCATATAATTGTTGAATAAGGTTGGTAAATGTTTTGGCAATCTGTAATGTTGAAGCAACTGCCAAATTACTTCTCGGCAGACGCTGTCGTTGGCCTTTTCAAAGTCGATGAAGTTGAGATAAGGTAAAGAGTTGACTGGCATCCTATGCTCTGTTTTATGATGATGAGTAGCGTAGCCTTGCAATTTGATCTTCACATAATTTGTTTTTGCTGAAGTCAGTTAGTCAGTCAGCCAGCCAGCATGTTCCAATCGTAATTTTTAACCAATAGCATTGTTTAGTCTCTCCAAGATGATGCGGATTAATATTTTGCTTGATGTGGACAGGAGCATGATTCGGCGCCAGTTCTTGCAAAGACTTAGGTCTCTTTTCTTTGGGAATTTGACAAGGCAGCCCTTATTCCAATCAATCGGCAGGTACCTCTCCTGCCTTCCATCCTTCCTTCTGAATCTTCTGCAATAGTAGTGTGAGCACGTCTGCTGCTGATGTCCCTGCGTCTGTTTTCAGTGCTACCGGATGAATTCTATCTATTCCTGCTGCTTTCCTGGATTTCAACGACTTTATGGAGTTCAAGACTTCACTTCTGCTTTCAATGGAGGTCTTGTGTTCACTGGTATTTCTGTGGATGGACTGGGCTGCCGGTTGTATTTCTGTAAGAGTTGCAGGTGTTGGCGGTGGTGGTGGTTGATTGTAGAGTATTTGAATTGGTCAGACCATTTTTCCCTTTATGTCTCCTCTTTGGTAACTAGGTTTCCTTCACTATCTTTCATTGGTTTCATCTGCGTTAATCTCTTTCCTCCTGGTTATTTGATTTACTGTTGTCGGATCTCTCTGCTGCCTGCATCCAGTTCTGCTTCACTCGCCAATGTGTCTGGGTAGTATTTTTCGTCTTTCCGTGCACTCTGTCAGCTTCCATGTGTCCATCGAGATTCATTCCTTGTCTCGCCTCACTTTCAACTTGATTTCGAAGTTAGGTTCGCTGCACTAGATAGTGAGTGGTGTGAACCACTTACATCTGCTCCCCTTCTTCATCTGATCTTATGTCCAGTAGGCTGCGTCTCCACGTTCTCCAGGTTCAAATGAAGTCGATCTGATTTTTAGTGTGTCCATCTAGTGAAGTCCATGTGGCTTCGTGAATACCCTTGTGTTTGTGCATACTGCCTCCAGTCACTAAATCGTTGAATGCGCGGAAGTCTGAAAACAGTTCTCCATTCTTATTTATTCCACCGAGTGCTTCTTGACTCATGATCAGTTCTCTTCCTGTGTTATTCGGGCCTACTTTGACATTCATTTCACCCCACCCATTAGAATGAATTTTGATGTTAGTATTGTCCAGTACTGATTGCAGTTGTCTGTAGAATTCCTCCTTCTTCTCCTCATCTGCATTATTTTTAGGTGCGTAGCATAGCGTAGCATTGTATGATTGTTACTTTCTTTCCTTTTGAGTTGAATCCATCTTGCTATCATGATGCTGATCTTGCAGGAGGAGATTGTTTACCACTGCATGAGAGGGAGTAGGACATCATGATAGCTACTCGAAATCTCAGTGTGCTCGTTCGTGGTTGTCGTCTGGGTGACAATATCGGAGTAGATTATTGACACTAGAGTTGACAGTTTGAAGAGTCCACTTCCATTCCATCTGCAGATTTTTCTCAGATTCGTAGCACCTCTATGCCACACCTCTTCATCTCTTTTACGATCTGGGCAGCCTTGCTAGGTTTATACAAGGTTCGAACATTCTATGTCCCCATTCTTACTCTCGCTTCCATCGAGAGAAAGAAGACACATCAGCCAATTGACTTCGGGAAGGCTTTCACCACCTGTGGTCATTTCGTCTGCCTGATTCAGGTGAGGAATAAGTTTAATTTTATTTTTTTTATGCTTTGAAGTTTCTTTAGCGATTGGATTGGTTTTTCGGGGTAGGGTTGCTAGCCGTATGCCCAACCTTCCCTCTTTATCCGGGCTCAGAACCAGCTAGTTATTAGTGAGCTAGTTAACCAGGATACGTTTCCAGGCAATAAAGTGAACTATAAACACTCCTGACTAAAGTTAGTGTATGTTTCTCCAAAAGAACTTTTCACCAGGATACGTTTTCAGAATAAAAAGTCAATAGCCCTCAAACAGTTGTGTTATTCAGAAGCGGGATACCTGTTGAACCTCTTGTAGACTACTGCTTGAAAGGAAAAATGTAAGAGAATACCATTTTTTTTAAATTGTGGTCCATCGTCTGGCTATCTGCAAAAGATACCTGGGCAACATTACGAACAGACGACTAAGAAAGGAGATCAATTCTGAGAAAAAAATAATAACCTGTAGGTACAATCAAGTCAAAAGCTACCAGAGTTATCCACCGATAATGCTGAAGACAATCTCACTGAATGCGAAACTGATATAAGTAGGTGACACCGAACCATTAGATTTCAATCCATCCGTTAAACGATAGGATGCTTGACGCCTGAGCTTAGTATCCTGGTCTCAAATATTCCTGGGGTCCAGGATGAGAACTGCTGAAGAGCCCGAAACTAGGATGGAACAGCTATTGAGTACTCATAGTTTTTTTTAATAATTCTCCAACTCATGTCAACCCGTCATTAATACTTTCTTGAGGTGAATTTATCCCTGGAATTCATCAATTGAAGTATAATTTCATGAGATGACTTATCCACAGAATGGAAAATGCAACACTTGCAACTTCAACATTTTCATGATAAAACTCACGTGAACGTTGCTACCAACAAATTAAACATAAGCACTTGTGTTAACAAGATGTATGCACTTAGCATGATTATTGTTAACCGACGTGAAGAAGTCTGTGGACACATTCCATTGTCACGACATGAGGAACCTTTAAAATAAAAAAACACATAATCTCCACCTTAAGAGAACTTGATACAAGATGATATTTCGAGTTAAATATCATGTTTAAGAGTAACTTGAGTCACAATTAGTAAAAGTGTGATAAATTTTTCAAATCCACAAAACACTGACAAGTATTTCGTTACAGTTTGAAACCTTCCGCCAAAATTCCTCAATTTACTGACCTGAAGGTTACTTCCTCAGATTATCAATGTTTCCATGTTCGCTGTTATACCCGACAGTTATAAGTTCGGTCCCCGATAACGTCACGGATGACAACTATCGAAGAGGAGAAACAGTTGCTTATTGCTCCCAGGTTTTCAATGGTTCTCCAACTCTTATCATTCCATGATGAATACTACCTGGACATTAATTGATAGATTTTGATCAGTTGTCTGCTGTCATGATAAGATCTAGTTGACTGAAGCTGGAAACGTCATTCACTGGTTACCAGTATAATGTCTTGCAATCCAACCTACATACAATTAAGTGTCTAAACAGCAGATTAGAACAGAGACTCATGAAAGATGTATGCCTGTGAGGTAGGTTTAGTTAATATGCAAAAAATGCACAATCGTTTTTATGATTTAACCAGATATTTAAATCTAAATGAATGTGCAACTAGAGTTATATAAAACAAAAATCTCCCATCTGTCAATATTCGTTCAAAAATGGCAATGTCTATTGGTACTGTATTTCATTTCCAAGACTGTCTGACACTTCTTGTATTACCTACTAACTACAAGTAAATTGGTTTACGCATACTTAAAAATTGTTCAGTTTTCAACTAATAAAATCACAGTCAATACAGTCATAGATGACTGACTGATTGACTGACTGATAGAATCAGTGTAGAACCTCACAAACTGTTACATCAGCTTAAGTTGTCACACTGCACAGACGTACACAAAGAACAGGTGGAGAGAAAAAAGGGTGACATCAAGGTGAATACGGTAATGTGATGTGATAAACAGTCTCAAGATAAAGATTATTGTGAATATTCAAGCTTTAGAAGATATGAAGGAGTGAATACGTCCGCGTCATAGCGACAGACATTCAGTTATGTCGTCAAGACTTTTTAACTATTGATTCCTTTCGCCTCAGAGACCCCAACCAGGTTGTCTTCATCTCCCTACATGGCTGCGTCCAACAGTTAGGGACTTCATCGATTGATGCCAAGTCTTAGTCTGGTCACCCTGAACCCCCTTCTAACCTAATCAAATATTCCTACCCCTACCATGGCACATGAGTGTAAGCAGTAACTCGGCATGCGCCACATATGTCCAAACCAACTCAGTCGACTAAGGTTCACAAGCTCAACAATCAACTCATCTGTATTGACTAGTACTATTCGCCTGACCTCAACATTCCTCACACGATGATTCCACTCGGTAAGAGTCGTGATAAGAAGACACTGATAATCAAAATCCTGCAACTGCTTCATATCGTCAACTTTTAGGAGCCATGTCTCACAGTCGCACAAGAGGAGAGGACGGACTGCAATGCAGTACAGATAGCGCTTGCTGATTTACCACATACCTCGATGTGCAATACTTGCAGGGGTTGGATTGGATTGGAAGTGGGTTCAGAATGTCCAAACAAAGAAGTAGCTGAATGTTGGTCTGAGGTGTGTTGAGGGGATGTAGACTGCCTAGTTGGGGTTATTGAGTTGATAGGAACCATTGGTTGATGAGTCTTAGTGACATGGCTAAGAATGGGATGCATTTACTCTTTGACGTCTTCTGAAGCTTAAATATTCGCACTAATCTTTATTATCTCTCAGTTAGTCTTATTTTATGTTACTCCTCTAAGCTATAGATGAACACATTCATTGAACAAATGGTTGCATACACTCTCCTGCTTCCTCTTCATCTTCATATCTATTTGAGTAGTAATATTCCTTGATATTACACATTCAGCTAATATATTTCAGCTACAAGTTTTACACGTCACATTTCTTGTCATTCATGAACTGGTTTATAGACTAAAAACAAATTGGCAAAACAACAATCGTAATTTAAAGTTGAGAATCTAACTAGAAGCTTGTTGAATTATGTAAAACACTATTTGAAAAGAGGAAGAATAACGATTACTTCAAGCACTTACCATCTCCAGCTAAATCATCCAAACGAAATTCACCCAACATTTGAAAGTATGATGTTATCATTACATCATAGAGACTACGAATTCCTGGTTTAGATATATAGACTGAATTTAAAGCTGTAAAATGAATGATAGTAGAACGTGAGGAAGATAAATAAATGATTATGTAATTATGATAAGCTAGATTAAAGTTTTAATGAATTCACATGATTCGATCTCAAGAGTTAACCGGTCAAAAGGTAATGAACGAAATTTTCTGTCTTCACTGTTTCAACATTTTGGAAGCGATGCGCTTCTCTCTCCAGTTAGAAGACATCTTCAAGATGAAACGAAACAAATGTGATAAGTTATCCTAAAACAGTTTCGTGATCAAAAATATGAAATATATTTTTATGTTCTAGAATATTTTGACATTGTCTTTATTATTCTTGAAGAGATGAGCATCCAAAAGTATCTCATGTGAAGTTGACTGCAGCATCGTTTCATTTTCATTCTCCCTTTTGATGATAACTTCAGTGATCGAGTTTCGTGGGATATCTAAGAGATTAATGTCAAAATAAAATATGGCAGGATTCAGATCAGTGATTTCCAGGTCACCTGCTTTCCAATTTGTTGATTGAGTCACAACACTCAACTTCTAGACAGGTGTCAAGATCATCTTGAACTAACTAGAGTTTTTCTAGCTCTTATTTGAGTTAAAGCTATGTGACTCTTGGTACTACATCTCACACTGGGATTCGTATCTTCTTGATTCAGTCAGAATCGTAATCAGTCAAATAAAAGCAGGAAAGGAGTATATTAGGCTGACAAACAGTAAACTAGAGGCAAGATCGAGATAGTCATTCAAGAAGCCCATTTTCTAAAAGACATCATCCCCTTCGACCCAGTATCACAGTCAGGGAGAAATTACGCGTATCAACAAATGACGTGTGTATAATCGTTTATTACTTCCACCAGTTAGACCATATTGATTACGTCTTTCTTCGTAATGAGCAGTCATTATACACTGAACAAGTGTGTCTTTGTAAATAAATCATATCTTGGGCTGACTAAATCTACCTACTGTTTGTTTCTGCAAGTCAAAAATGCTTTCAGTGTTCAACCATGGTTCCATACTACTGACTGGATCATTCCGTCTGAAGGATTAGAATTTCAAAAACATTTTATTGTTTTTTACGCTACTGAAGTATTTTATTGAGGAATAGAACAAGTATGTTGACTATTTTCAAACATTTTCAAGTAATTAGAGTCCAACTAATCTTACTTTTGTATTAATGATGGATAGTACTTAGCAATGGAATCTGGGCACCGCTTCTCGTCCTGTTTGCGAATCATCAGCTGCAACGACATTAAAAATCTTACTTTTAGGTCAATTCACTTTTCTGTCATTAATCATCTCCCAGAGTAAACCGTAAAGATTTAGCTTTATTCGCCTACCGAGGAAAAAGCTGAAGCCTGATAACAGGAATATGTCAAATTCAGTCCATCTCGACTTTCTTCTGCATATATGTTGGGCAATGGCTTCTTGCTTTTTTGGTTCGTTGCCAGCCAGCCAGAGTTCCTTCTTGCTTATTCTAGTTATTCTGGCCATCTAATCTTCAGCGTTGATTGGGCGTAGGGAGAAGCTGTTGCTATGATGTATGTCTGCAGTTTGTTGGAAATGCTTTTGATAACTCGCTAAGTCTCTCAACCATCACATAGAAACACTGACTCACTTGACTGATGTCAGCGTTGAAAATCCTCATCCTGTTCACACTTTATGCTGAATGCAGTGGAGTGGAGTGCAGTGCAGTGGAGTAGATTTCCACACTGATTTCAGGTTAATGAAGGAAGGCCTGTCTTGTTGTGTTTCAGATCCTGTCTTTGACATCCATATCTCTGCCACCACCGCCTGTAGTTTAAACGTTGGTATCTTGCCTGGGTAGGCGAAAGAGGCCACTTCATTTAGATTTCTTCCGTTGATGGTGACTGGCGCTTGTAGTTGTTGGTGGTGGTGGTGATAGTGGTTGGGTAACTTTATCATATCTGTCTTCTCTAAGTTCACCTGAAGCAAGTTCGGTCTTCTCTGCCTCACCTCTTCTACCAACTTGTTAGTTTTAGCCTTTAGCACGTATGCCCAGTGTAATTACTTCACTAAGTGAGACTGCACTTCACTACACTGATAACCGACAAACGCTTACTCAGTCTTGGTCAGTTTTGATTAGGGATTTTTATGCTGAGTGATTTGACAATAGTGGATGCATTAAACGTGATCATCGAAACACATCTTGTATCTTGGATTTCACCTCTCTCTTTATTCCCACTGAAGACAAACTATCACATAATTTGTCATTGAAGAAGCGCAGTCTATCGTCTTTCCCGTCCAATCAGTAATATATATCTGGTTCAGCCACGACATATGAAACATTCATTTTGAAACTTCGTCTAACTGCTAAACACCTAACATTAACCTCATATCCAGCTGCATTGCAGTGAACGGTTAGAGTAACTGGAAGGATATTAGACGCCTTGTCACCACAGGTCTTACTCTTACAGTAAACTTTCATCATCAACAGTTTAATATTACTAATCATCGCACGAGCAATTCAACACAGAATTTGAAATATCTTCTCAAATGACAACTTACTCATTTTATCTTGCTCATAATCACTGTAGTAACCATTAGCAAATGAAATCGACTGAAATGCAATACCGTATCCAATTTGACATACCAGTAGGATAAGTAAAAATGGCAGAAGGTCATGAACCACCTGGGATCGAAAAACAAGTAAAACGTGTAGATAATAAAGGGTTTAGGCGGAGTGATTTTAGGTTGGAATTCATTGTGGCCTGATATCATTTAGAGAAAAATTAGAAACCTGGAGACACTGAACAGCTGTTTCGTCCTAGTATATGACTCCTCAGCAGTGGGCACCTATGAACCCGCCCCACCAGTGACCGAACCCACTACCGGACCTTCAGGTTCCATGGCCAGCGCATCACCATGAGCCACTGGGTCGGAATCCAATGGTCCCTATTTCCTACTTCTGTGACCTATATCCAACATAGTCGTTGAGCAATTGTCCTCATGTTTCATTTGGATGACTCCACTGGTCCAAGTATTGACCATTGGACTCCGACCCAGTGGCTCAATGGTAACGTGCTGGTCACGGAACCTGAAGGCCTGGTTCTGTTTTCGACCACTGGTGAGGAGAGGGTCATGAGTGCGCACTGCTGAAGAGTTATATACCATGACGAAATAGTTGTCCAGTGTTCCCAGGTTTCTAACGTTTCCTCAACTGATGTCAGTCTATGATGATTTCTAACCAGAAATCAACTAATAAATCTCCACAAACCTCCAGAGGGAAATAAATGATTTTATGTTAATAAAAATGATTGCTAAAAATGAAAGAAAATTTGAGCCAAAACAGGACTCATACGAGAACACTTCCTGTTGCTGGCATAGCACTCTTCTGTTTGAGAGCAGAGACCTATCTGCAAATCTTTTCTTGATTTCACTTAAGTTTACTAGTTTTATCTGTCTTTAATTTAACCAACTGATCTGTAACTATTCATTCAATATCATACTAGCATCTCAGTCAGATTGTATCACCTCAATAGAAATAGCAGCTAATCAAATTGGTGACCAAACTTTGTGGTATTGCCTTCACTGAAGGATCGATTTTGGAGCAGAAGTAATTGTTTGTCGATCTGCGGTTTGTAGAGATTTAGACAATGTTTGGGGACTCTTAAGTAATACGATGCAAGATCTATATCATTGGCCAGTCTTATCCACAGTTTGAGTCAGTTCAAGTGTTAAAAAGTTTTATCATTGAAGCCTATTCCTTTTAGCTTTGTTTCATGACTTGTTATGAAAGATGTTGACATTGTTTCCAGTTCCTCATCCTTTCTTTTGCTTATAGTCCCTCTGACAAGACAACTTGAAAAGAGTTACGGTTGACTAATACGCAATCGTAGACATTTGCAACAAACTACAGATATTCATCAACAACTGCCTACGCTGGCTCGTTACTGAAGATCAGATGGCCAGAAAGAATAAGCAATAGGGAACACTGGCTAGCTCTCAACGAACCAACCAAGAACCTATCATTCAACAGATATGCAGAAGGAAGTGGAGATGGATTGGGAATGCACTGAAAAGACCATTTGGGGACATCATATGCTATGCACTCGAGTGGAACCCAGATGGGAAGCGACGAGTTGGGCGTCTGAGCTGAGGGTGACATCGAAGAAATCGTGCGAGGAGGAAATGAGAGGTTGTGGGCTGTCGTGGAGCCAGGTTCAAAACACTGCAGAGAAGAAAGTGAAATGGAGGCGTGCTACTGAAGCTTTATGTTCCACTAGGAACCCAAGGGACAAATAATAATAATAATATAATACTTAATCGTGAATGCACGCCATATAAACTGCTTATAATGTAATTAATGAATCAGCAGAATAGTGGTGATTATCTACAATGTAGCATTATACGGTTTTGAAAAGTTGTTTTTCGCCTATTTTGAGTATTATTGATAGCGAAAACAAGCAATTGTTGTTAGATCGTTAAAGGCAATTGTTTGAAAGCCCTGATTGATACAGGTTTCCTGGTTGTTAGCACTCCTTAGTAAGGTACACTTGTAACCTCAAAGGAACTGGTGTCTTCTAACTAATCCAACCAACCATTTTTTTTCTTCCTCTTCTGTATGTAGTTTTCATGTAACAAGTCTTTACACTAAAATATCAATATATATGGCACAGGAGGTAGTCACAAGTCAACTAAATACTGACTCAGAACTTGCTCACAGAACTAGGATATCGGTTGATGAGATCATACTAAGCGTACAGTCGTGCCTGACCTCCACAGTCTTCAAGTTTCAGAACAAAATATACGCGCAAGCAGGAGTAGCAATGTGATCGCCAATATCCGCAATCGTAGCAGATACATTTATGTATGTTTGGGAAAGCATGGACATACAAATGTTTAACTCTGCACCAGAAATGTGGTAGCGACATGTGGATAACACATTTAGTGTGTTGAAATCAGAACATATCGACAATTTACTACCATAAATATAAACTCAGTAGTAGATGCAATCAAATTCACCCACGAGGAGGTAGAAAATGAACAAGGAAACTGACCTATGTTGGATCGCAGGACAAAACGAAGGACAGATGATGGTCTACAGAAAACCGACAGATTCTACCAGGTATCTTGACTTCCAGTAATCTCATCGAATGTCAGTCAAGGTGAGTTTGGTCAAATGTCTCAATGATAAGGCTAGAAAACTGACTAGTCAGTCCAATGACTTAAACAAGGAACTGAAGCTAATAAAAGAAGCGCTGATAGTTAATAATTCGTTTGGACACATAAGAAACGAAATAATGACAATAACACGAGTACGAATAATAATAACAACTCTAGTAGAAAGTTCACAGCCTCCGCTGTGTTACCCTATAGGGAAGGAACATCAAATACTTTTCGTGGTATTCCCAACAAGACTGGAATTCGGGCGGCATTTAAACCTTGAAACTCAGAGATAAGCTTTGTCGGCTAGCTTAAGGATCTGATAGAACTAATTCAGGAAAATAATCTAATCCATCGAATTCTTTGTAATGACTCCAAGGTCAAGTACATAGGTCAAACTAGCTGGTCGAGGTCAGTCAGATCAGCGGAACACAGAATCCAGCTAAATATAGAATGACAGACCCGAATAAGATCAGTGATCTAGAAAAACACTCGATTACTGAAATGCATGCACTAACGTACAACCACATAATAGGGTGGAATAAAACCACTGTATTTAAGTACAGTATAATTAGTTTAGAATATGACAGAGACTGAATCTTTATTCATCGAATCAACAGCCAACACATGCAATAGGCATAATGCAACAACTATACCAGAGATATGGAAAATATCACTACCAACAGAAACAAAGAATAAGAGGTGACAGGACTGTAAAAAGCAGATGTCGATAGTAGTGCAATTACATTGATATGATTTTTCTATTTCGATTAGAAAGGTAGATTTTCACAAAGTAAATAATTTTAACTGGTTATTTCATTTGTTGCTAAGGTGATCTTTAGAATTACCTAAAATGACTCTATTGTTTTAACTTTCCCTAGTTAAACAAGAGGTTTCAATTATTTCAACAAGTTCATTCTTACACACTTCCTTGTAAATTGAACGTTTTACTATATATATGCTTCCTATATGATTATTGAAGTATTGGTGTAAGGAAAATAAAAATCTTGCTAACTACTCAGTTTTCAGGTTAATATATGAGGATGCAAAATATATATACACACACACATGAGTGTACTTATGTATTGTAGCGAATATTTGTAGCTCCTCATAGTGTGAACGTTCAGAGTGGCTTTGATAACTGAAACCTGATCTCAGATGACAACTCATACGGCACTTAAGAGTATTTCTTCAGTCGTTCGTATAAAGCAATAACAGTAGAAGAGAACGCATACTCACCATTCTGTTGATCATAATTAGTTTCGGTCCAAGTACAATACTGAAACTAAAGATATACATCAATCGTACATAAAATGCAAATAGGCTAAAGGCGAAAAATATACGTGAAATAGTAAATAAATCATCAGATAGTATATAGAATGGTAAATCTGGACTCCAAATACTTAATGAATGTCCAGATCCACTAAACATTGGCAACTCTTTAATTCGCATAACAGACTCATAGATTTCAATTTGTTCAACAGATAAATTCACTGAAATATTTGTTATGTTACATTGATCAATATAACATGTGTTCAATAATTCATAGAGATTTGTTTGATTATATAATGCTACTGATGACAGATTGAATGTTTGCATTAATTTATTTGTCTCAAGTTCCGATAATTGTTCATGTATTAAACTTTGATATGCATGAATTTTAACGCTTAAACCAATTATGTAAAGACTGATTGCAAGACAGTCTAGTTTATTCCATCCATCACTGATATATTCCTTCAAACTTGAGCCTGGACCAAGTGCCTATGTAGTTACAAAGAAAAGAAAAGAAACATGATGAAAATATGTATATTAACACGCATTGTCCAAAAATACGGGTTACAGATCCCATTTGTTAGTGATCTACATGCTTTTAAGAATCAATGAAAGTCTAAGGAGGACTAGAGTTTGATAACGTTCAGTAATCTATCAGGAATAGGCTAATATTTCCCGTCGCATCACTTGGAGAGAAGTCTTGTTTCATTCTGATTTTGAAAGCTGTTTGCGGAATTTGAACACATATATTCGGTGTCGAAGCTTTGATCCTAACCGATATAAAGTTCTGGATCTAGTCTGTGACCTTTCCAGGAAGTTATTCAGGTCATAACCAAACCGCTGAAGGACTGGAGTATGTATACGGAATGGTCACAACTCATGGTAACCGACGCAGCCTCACAGTTTATTATGTCGAGTGCTGAACAATAACTGATGAACATGTTCCTAGTTTGTCTGTTTAGTTATATGATACAACCCCAAATATTTATTATAACATCACTTACCTTCAAGGTTACACTGCATACTTAATCAGTAAACTTTGATCAACACTCAATAAACTGGCCTTGACAGCTAAATCTGTAGCCATTCGGTAAATCGTTTGTAAGTGTATGCAAGTGTTACAGTAAAACAGTATACAGATATACACAGATTCACCTGAAGTGTCGTTTCTACAAATTTTTACTCTTCGTGGTTGGTTACAACTTCTCATTGAAACTTCAGGAATCACCTCTCGAAACTAGTCACCAAGAAGCGCTAAATTAATTCAATCTGGAGGTTTGTGGAAACTTAATAATTGATTTCAAGTTGGAATTCATCATTTACCAACATCAGTCAACCGTCTCACTAACAGAATGAAAGCCTTGTAAATTACTTGTACAATACACTTTCAAAACAAACATATTTTAACTACTCAATAATAGTCGTGTCCACAGGTTTTTCGTCGAGAAATAGCCAGTGGCACACAGTTTACCACGAACTGACAGAAGTAGGAAATATGGATCATTCAGTTCTGATGCAGTGGCTCAATGGGAATATGCTGGCTACGGAACTTGAAGGTCTAGTGCTCGGTTCGATCAGTGATGTTTCGGGATGGGGTTGTGGATGCACTCCGGTGAGGAGTCGTATACTAAGTCCAATGTTCCTCTATCTGATGTCAGTCCTTGATAAGTTTTGTACTTTATTCGAAGAAGCTATTGTATTGATCAGCTGACAACCTTAAAGTTGCTTGTATGTATCTTATCTTGCACCTTCTTGATAGGATGCTAATAAGTAGAAATCTCTCTTCTAAAATCTTTTACCAGGTTTTAAATTTGATTCTTTCGTCCGCGATATGCTAGTGACAACATTCATTTCATGACTAAAGTCTACTTTCAGTATAGTGGGATCATCTTTCATTATTACCAGTCAGTAATTTTCTTCACTCATACATTAACTATTTTCGCGAGTGGAGAAATCAGTTTGCAAACTTGAAAAGATTCACCCTTGTTGTGTGATTGGTTAACTGAATACTAGTGGGTTATAAATGGGACGTTTCATATGATTCAGAGTTTTCAAAACACATTCATCATGTATTCAAAAATGCAGAATAGTAGATCCCAATAGGATAAGGAATCTAGAAAACACCTTGGCAATAGCAATGCATGCAAATACATACGACCACAAAGTGACTCTCTTTAAAACTAACTGGATCGAGGGAACACCAAACACTTCCAAACAAAAATAGCTCAGTACGTGTTTCAGATGTATACGAAATTCCAATACATGTATATCGTAAAGAGGGTGAGACAATCTGAACTACATAAACCGTGTCTCAGAGCTGTAGAGTTATCCTTATGTGACTTTCGATAATAAGTGGTGTCCAAACCATCAATCCAGTAAACAGTACTACTTCACTATGTGATACATTTAGTGAGTGAACTGAAATGGAACTACATGGTATTAAATTTCCAAGGTTTAACTCATACTTTATACTGATTCTTGTAGAATTCTCAAGTTATATTTTCAAATTTGTCTCTCAGTTTATTGACGAAAGTTATATGTTCACGATATAGCGCAACCGCCACCCAATGTCATGGTTGAGTAACTGTCCTCAAGACCATTGGGTGGTGGTTGCGCTATATCGTGGACCCTATATATATATATATATATATATATATATATATATATATATATATATATATATATATATATATATATATATATATATATATATATATATATATATATATATATGGACCACTGGATTCTGACCCAGTGGCTCAGTGTTAACGAGCTGGTCATGGAACCTGAGGGTCGCGGGTTCGATCCTTGGCGGGGTGGTGGGTGCGCACTACTGAGGAGTCCCACACTAGGACGGAATAGCTGTCCAGTGCTTTCAGGTTTCCTTTGTTCCTCCAACTGATGTCAGTCTACGATGAATAACAACTTGAAATATTTCCAAATCCCCATAACTCCCTCGAAAGTTGAATGTCTCTTGACTTCATTGTTTTGGTTTGTTGGTCTCATTATCCTTCACTAGTTTGTCAAATAACCTTAGCTAGTCAGTTACTGCTTTTATTTACTCTTCAAATTATATTATTTCAATGAATTTATCATTTATATCAGTTTACTAAACAAGCATATCCATAATTCTAATGACCAGCACATTACTGGATTCTGGAAAATAATGGTAATCGCCTGCTGAAATTTCTTTAAATTTGACCGGTAACAGTCGTAGTGAGGTGTATTACACACGACTTTTCGACCTACAACACACAATATAACACCTTTCTCTTAGAAATATATCTATACTACTAATAAGTAACCTTTTGACTTGACATAAAATCACTCACGAAGGTGACAGTTTGAAGATCCTATGCTTTGTAGGCATATAATGTTAATATTGATACAAATAAGTGGAAAAGTATTGTATGGGGTTAATCAGTGAGATTATCATAGACTGAAATTAGTGGATTTGTAAATGTTCATCTCTACTGTCTATAAATGCCTTGATATTGTTCACAGCACCACTAAGATGTGGAAGTAGCGGCCAAGTTTAACTCTTATATCGGCAGAAAGTTATTCATCATAAGTGTAAGGGATTTAAAGTACAATACAATTGACCGGAGTAACAACAGTGTCTGGAATAAAAAACTTCAACTGATAGTTCTTATCTCATCCATTCTAAGCATTTCGTAGCCGTAGATTAAAACATGATCTAGGGATTCAGGCGTGGAGTAGAATTTTCCCTGAATATGAGAGATATGATGACATGATGCACAAGAAGCTGGCTTAAGTTTTCACACTTTGAAAGATACTGATCCTACACATATCCAGCCGAATGTAAATGAATTTTCATCCCATTGATAGGGTAGCATATTAGGAACTTGGTTTCACTTAAAATCTCTATTGATTGGTTACGGCAGTGCAACCGACTTCATGTTGAGCAGTCCCAGCTGCAGACCGAATCCTATCGATCATATTTTCAGTGCTCCCACTGTCCGAATACCTCAGTGGTAAAGTGGGTGCCTACAACCCCGTTTGACGTGAGTTCGAATATCAGGCAGGATATCAGTTCCATCAACGTTCCAGATACACCATGCTGACCAGTGCCAGCAAACACGAAACCTAGGTCCAGGGCTTCCTGATGATTGCCTTCAACCAACTAATATCATTTAAAATCTATCTAAAAGGCATATGAATTGCTCAGTAATTAATTCTGTAATATCAGTGTTGAATGGCGAATAGCTCAAATCCTTGACATAACATGCTATTCAACGTTACTGTTTCGTCTTAGCATGATAAGCCACAATAAACGTTAAACCTTCAGACGGGAAAGTCAAATGTCCTGACTTGTGTTTAGGAAACACTGGCAGAAAGTGCAACTGACTTATACGAGCCCCTTAATTATTATCTCATAGCTCTAGGTGAGTTGTGAGTGTTGAACAATTAGTAGTTGACCGGTAGATATTACTATTTTGACTTATCTGTAAATAGGCCAATCGAAACGTATTTTTTTAGTCATATCTACAGCTGGATTGACAGACAATTGACTAGTCAGTCAATATCATATTAAACACCGAATTGTGTGTATATATTTAGATCTAGTCTCCTTTGTCTTTGGGCTTCGGTCGAAGTACACGTTTCCTACACATTCTTATTGTCTTCTCCATTCAATAAGTTGGGTTTGGAACAAACTAGGAATTTCTTGAATGTTGGCGGCTGATAGTAGATATCCGCTGCTATAGAAGTTTCCAATCATAATAGTTGGCGACAGAGATATTGGGAAATGGACAGATTTCTAGAGCAGAGAATGAAGACCATCAAGTTATTTACTCAATACAGAATTCCTACACCTGAATCGTCAAATACCATACCTGCTATATCAGCTCCTTCAGTCGACGGAATCGGAAACAGCACTACTGAATTTTATTATGATCCGGATTTTAATGTAACTTTCGATACTTAGTTCCGAAGGTATGAAGACCATTTCAAAGTTGATTTCGCTGACCAAAATGATTCATGGAAAGTTCGTTTCCTCTTTCAAAAACTTGGTCAGTCTGAATTAGATCAGTAGTGTAATGTTATACTGTCACAGAACCCAAGAGATCACTCCATCGATGCCATATTTCAGACCCTAAGGTAACACTTTGGTGATCATTCATCTCTTTATAATACCAGATAACCTTGTCTTGAACTGGTGACGATTTTCTCACTGTCAATCGTGACTGCAAAACATTTAGGCCAGGTCCATCACCAATGATCCATTCAAATTCTTGATACTCATAAGCAATCCTCAGTCACTTAAGTTTGCTGATATCAGAATGAGACTGCTAGATCGGTTGGAGCAAGATGCAACACTTACGTTGAATGACATCACTTCTGAAAAGCAAAAATCGGTCAGCTTGCAACGGGACACGAGTTTGGACCAATCCAGATGCTACGGTGATCATGAAATGCATACGGTTCACCAGACATCTAAATCTTCTGCGTCATTTTCTGGCTGAAAGATCCCTAGTTTTTCATCTCCTGTTCATCATTCCAGCACCTCATGCAATACAAAAGAAATATGAGGGAGACGCATCCGTCCTCCTGATGGCATTGTGGTGCATGGCAATTTGTCAAACTTTGTCCTTATTAGCAGAATAAATGCCGAGACTGTAAAAATGTTAGCCACAAAGACGGATTTTTTAATCAGGACCCATCACAAAGAACACGGAGTTCCTCATCCGGTCACTGTCACAGATCGAAGTCTATAGTGACCAATCACTGCATTTAATCTGATCTTACAGAAGGTCAATCCCGACCCAAGAAATCAGAGGTGAAGTCACCGACTGCAACATTAGGCTATGCAAGGGGATATCATTTCTTTCAAGGTTACTGACACAGTGCTGACGAGTACCAACAGAAAAGAGAACTATGTCAAGCTAATTTTTCTGCTAGTCACCTCCGACCAACTAACATCCATTAAAAGTGTACCGCAATGGTAAGCCACCTAGATTGACGAAATTCGACCAGAACTCGGAACTAGGCAATATGAAATTGATTACTTTTCAGTGACTAATCAGTTCATCTAGTGCAGTCCTACAGGAGACCAGTCGCATCCTGGACAGCTCAGTGGTAGCATCTATAACTGCAACACTGAGTGTCGCGGGTTTGAATATCTCAAATGAGACATCAGTTCTCCAGAGGTTGCAAATACTAACGAGTGCCAAGAAGCACAAAACCCAGGTCTAGGGATCCCTTCTGATTGTCATCAACCAGCAAAAGTTAAAATTCAGCCTAATGTTTGTCCTGAGTTAGGATCTCATTACGTTGGTGGATGTACACCGTTCATTGGTCTTTGGTTATCTAACTAACCTCTATCCGTAATGAATACTTTGAAAGATTTAAATACAATCTCGAACCAAAAAGTTGGTTATCGAACAGATAAATTGAATTTATTTGTAATAGCCTATCAGTGATTCAGTTGAAGGTGGCTGTTATAAAGTTACATAACTGGAAGTATAGTTACATTATTCCACGAATTCATCAAACCTAAAATCTTCATTGACCAGGGTCTAGCTCATACTATTTGTAGAAGTTAACTAATCCAATCTGAATCTTAAGAAAGGTCATAAATGTCTTCTATCGATGTATGACACATTGGGATGAAACATAAATTCAACATTAAATGGACTGCGGGGAGTATTTTATGAAAATGTTGACTTTCTGTGTTAGTTGTCTCCGAATAAGGGGAATCGGCGTCACCTCAAGTAAAAGTTTGTTAGTGTCAAACAAAATTCTGTGTTTATCCTGTGGATAATTATAAAACCGAGTATAACCTGCTTCAGAACTGTGTGCATTTATATATCTCGATTAGGCTCATTTATTTACAGACTGTACCACTTGTATCTCATCAGAAGTCCACATACTTATTACCTGGAGAACAAGTGGATCAATCCAGTAACGAGAATGAAAGATATCATTTTAAAATTTTAAAAAGTGTTGACTAAATCTGAAGTAAAATCTATATTACACCCAGTTAAGCCCTAGTAACTATTGTAGTATCTATTGGACAGTCTACTGACCGACATGAGAAATCTAACTATCGGTTATCATCATCATCATTATCAACATAGGACCAGGCATTACTGCGTAACGCTCCGAGTTGCCACACCTCATATCACTACATCAAATAAAAAGGCAGTGAGGCGCAAGATGAAGATAAGAAAATTCAGTCAAGAGAAATATGAAGTACGAAAAAAGAGAAAGTGGTGAGATTCGGTATAGTGTACTTAAGATGAGGATAATGTGTGTATACATCTGCGCCACTGACATTGGTTCTGAGCCATATCCCCTAGAGTCTCCAACCACTGGTTCCTCTTGTCCCGTGGACCCCAACCACCTAGTCTGCATCGTCCTACATGGCTGAAACCAACAGTCAGAGACTTCATACATTGGTACCATGTTTTAGTCTGGCCACCTTGGGCCTATTTCCAGCCTGGACCCACCTCAGCCAACATTGTGTGATGAGGCAATTGGTGACTAGCCATACGTAGTACGTGTCCTAACCATTTCAGTCGATGAAGGTTCACAACCTCGTCAACTGACTTACCTCTTCTCCCCAAAACTCTACACCTAACTTCTGCATTACTCACATGATGACATCACGGAATACGTCCTACACTACGTAGGCAACGGTGGTCAAACACCTGAAGCCTTTTTGTATCCTCCACTTTCAATGGCCATGTTTCACAGCCATACAGTAGAACAGAGCGGACTGCTGTGCAGTACACGCGACCCTTAATAGACAAACGAATATCACGGCGGCGCCATAGGTGGCGCAAATTGGCAAAAGCCAATCGAGCCTTTTGTATCCGTGCAGAAATCTCATCGGCAACTAACCCACCGGGGTTGATCCTACTTCCAAGGTAGATGAGGTGGTCAACACACTCAACCACTTCACTTTTGAAAAAATACAAAAGTTCAAAATAACTATCGGTTAAGTATTGTCATATCAATCTTTGAGTGTTCATTCTACTTGGCTAGGTATTCAGACTCTATTAAACGTCCCCAAAATCTGATCTTCTCAGTTCTAAATCCAAAATGGAAAGAACGAAATAGGAAAACGTGACAGTGTGTTATACAAGTGGACTGGCTTCAGCGTAGGTCAGTCAGTGAAGAGAGGAATTACATATATGTTGTAATCTAACTTCTTAGTTAGAAACTACATGCAGCTGCTTAGAATTTGTGCATGATCTACTTCTTCAACCTTCTATCTCCAACCTTGATCATTTTTTAAAGACTTATATGAAATGTCAGCTGTAATACATAGGATAAACCCTCCCATCTGGAATGAGATCTTGTACAGACCATTTAAGAATAGTCAGTTAAAACTAGACAGTGCTGGACATGTTTTTAGCTTCTTTTAAGACTCTTCATTATTCTTTAAGCACCAAATACTTGTAAATTTATTCTACGATCTGATTTTAGATATTGATAACTAGAAATTAACTGGTGAACTACTGAATAGGAATATGCTTTCACTAATAAAACAAATCGTTATAGCTTTAACTGTCGACATTCAGAAAAGACTTACCTGTTTTAGCTCTTCACACAGAAAAGATCCAACCATTAATGTAATAAAAATATCCAAATATGAGAAACTTAGTGTTAATGATGTCAGTAATGTTTTACTAAACACAATAAGAAATAGCAAGTAGAATATCTGAAATGGAATAATGGAGAAAGTGAGTGAAAATAACACGAACAGACAAGTGTAACGTGATGAAAGAAGTTCATTGTCTTGAAGAATTTTTCAGTACCAATAGATACCAATCAGAAGTGTACTGAAAATCTACTGGGAAGTGTTAGAAAATTGTTTTATGCAAGTTTCCAGCTCCAGGGAAATGTTCACTCACAACAGTATTTGAGATGGAACATAAACTAGTAAGAAACAGCTGTCCAGTGCTCTCAGGTTTTCGATGGTACTCAGATTTATGCTGATGTGCGATATAAGCTCCAGTGAACTCAAAGAACTTTCTACAAACCCTGAAAAATCCCATGGTATACAAGATAATAGAAAAAAGGTTTTTCCACTGACCTTAAAGAAATCTACATTGACTGGTCACTGAATGGTGGCCTAATGCTATAGACGACTTTTTGATATGATCACCAAGTTGTACGCATTGAGGCAATCAACAGAAAGCCCTACTGTAAATGGCTTTCATGTTTGTTAGCGCTCTGCAGTAAGGCGTATCTGTAATTTCAAGCAAACTGATGTCCCATATAAGATATTTAAACCCATGTCAAGCAGTACTGAAATAATCGCCTGTCTTTACCTCTTTTCTTTGATGATAACTTGGCAATGAAATTTATCTTTAATCAATCGATCACGGCGCCAGATAAACACCACTGATTGGATTGATTCTTTAGGAACTATTCACTTCATCCAGGATCGACGTTATACGTATTGTACTTATACTGATTTAACCCGTTAAGCCAAATTGCTTAAGTTACCCCACTTCTGACTCACTAAATGAGTCGGTTGGTAAAATTTCCAAGTACAACGGTTACTTGTTAGTTAGCACTGATGACTTCCACAAATAGATGTCATCTACTCTTATTATACATTAATATATATCGTTCAGTGAATATATATGCCTTTATTAATGACACCATTATTAGTATTAGTCAGATATTTGGTATTTCAAATGGAAAATAGGATCATCTTGGTGAGATTAGCTTATTCGGTTGGCGTGTGATGTGAGATAGTGTAACATTCAGCGACTTATCGGTGCAAAAAACATTAGGGAGCCATTAAAATCTCTTTCTCTAAGCAGTGCAAGATTTAGCGGACACTTTAGTCAGTGCAGTAAACATTGTGAGTTAACTGATGAAAAAGCGCGCTTCAAAACTGAAGGTAAATTTTCTAAAATCACACTCCAAGCATCCTTAAGAATTCGGTGAATAAAGCGTATACATTCGTGTAATTGCTCATTTTAACTTAACAGTATCAAATGGTTTCTAGGGAGTGTAGCATAGGCTGAAAGTCTTGTCGCCTTATGAAACGCTTTAGATGCATTTGTTTGAGTAAGGGTAGGGTCACTGTTTTTTTTAAGTATGTCACTTATCAATTCGAACTATAAGGGTCCATAAACTCAGTACATTTCTCCAGTTGATAATTGGACACTTTCAGATGTGACTGTTCAAAATGATCATTGCAAAATACTGAAGTACTAGACAGAACTTACCGTATTATAGAGGAAACGTATTATAGGAGCTTGATAAAATATTTTAATCCTTTCAATCTGATTGCTGATTCTAAAATATATAAAGAAAGAAATGAAACGACACATTCAATGTTTAAAATAAACAGTAGTCCAATGTTTCATGTCAGATTCAATTTTGAGGTTTATGAAAGATTCCTTTTAGTTTAAAAAGCATTTTTCATTCTACAACCATACCAATTGAAGCACCATTTGGAAACAAGAAGCAGTAGACATGTGTTTCGCCCTAATGTTTAGGTCTCATCAGCAGTATCTCTTGTCCACTTCATATGGAAACGAAGCAAGATTATCAGAGTCCAGTATCACAGATGTAGCCATATTGTAAATTGATTACAATATCAAACACAACGGTTACTGAACTACAGTTTAGTGACTAGATGATAAAATTCTGTTCAGATTAAAGACTTAAAACGTTTCTAGAGAAAGATTTGCAATCTACCTAAAAACTGCTTACACCAGTAATGAAAGTCGACGTTACAAGTACAGTAGATCACTGCGTTATACATTGTTCGGTAACATTGACAAGTTAGGCTTCATATAGGTGTGAAACAGAAACTCATGTCCACAATTTAAAGCTATGGAATTATTTTTCCCCCTTGGGTTTCTAGTGGAACATACGGCTTCAGTAGCACATCTCCATTGCACTGTCTTCTCTCCAGTCTTTTCAACCTGGCTACACCACTGCCCACAAGCTTTCATTTCTTCTTCATATGGTCTCCATGTCACCCTTGCCTCCGACGCCCAACCAGTTGTTTCCCTTTTGGATTCCACTGGACGGCCTGGCCTGGCAAGTGATGTCTGCGAACGGTATCGAGCGTAGGTAGCTGTTGGTGAATGTCTGTGGTTTGTTAGAAATGCTTTTCGTAACGCATCAAGTCTCCCAACCATCATACAGAAGCACTGACTTGGCTGACATTAGTGTTAAAAATACGGGTCTTGTTCTTTTTGCTGAGTGTAATAGACCTCCACACTAATTTCAAATTAATGAAAGCTAGTCTGGCTTTTCCGATCATAGTTTTGACATCCTCGTCTGTCCTTGTGGCGCCTGTAGTTGAAACGATGCTGCTTAGATAGGTGAAAGAGATTGCTTCCTTTGGTTTTATCCCGTTAATGGTGATTAGTGCTTGTTGCTGTTGGTTGGGTTATTTCATCATCTCCATCTTCTCTACTTTCACCTGAAGGAAGTTCGGTGTTCTCTGCCTCGCTTCTTCTGTCAACTTGTTAGTTTTCGCCTGTGCGTCTTCGAGTTTGTGCGACAAGACAATAATCATAGATCATCATCGGCCAGCGTATGCCCCTCTTCTCATTCTTTGCGGTTTGTTGCATGATCCAGTGCAGCACAATCAGGAAGATCATCGGTGATAGTAGGCAGTTTTGTCTTACTCCTGACTTCACTTTAGAGGAGTCACTGAGCTTCCCATTGTGGATTACTTGGAATGTAGCCTTTTCATACAGCTGCTAAATGAGATTGGTAAAGGTTTATGGTATTCCGTAGTGTTGAAGCAGCTGCCAAATTACCTCTCAGTCGACTTTGTCGAAGGCCTTTTCAAAGTCGATGAAGTTGAGGTAGAGATTTGACTGCCATTCTTTACTCTGTTCTATTAGAATCACCGATTCGATGAATGGAAATTCACAGTAAGTAACCAATGATTGTCAGCAGAGAGTGGTAAACTTAGATTCCACGTTTTTAGGCGTCTATCTTTTCTTCTGTACACGAGAGTTTGCCGTAACACTTTCTCGATAATAAAATCATACTACTTGTGAGTAACTGATGTTTTCAGTCATAATTAACTACTTTGCTTTGATTGGCTACCTGATGTATTTGATGTCGTTTCGTTAATTGAAGCTGAGTTGGCATTCAGTCAGTGTTTAATAATCTCCTATGTTCGACACTTTTTATTGGAAGACCACAGATTTGCATTCAACGTTGCTTTTTAACCTAAAAATTTTCAAATTTTATTTTTACTGCCATTTTTGTGGCAAGGCCAGTAATTCATTTTCCATCATTTTCATGGTAATTTTCTGATTGTTTAGTGCTTGCTTTTACTACGTCAATGTCCCTTATTCTGATTAAGGTTATATATCATGCATATACAATAAGTCCACTGTCGCCTTGCAGCCAACAGGGCTTATGGAATCCTGGGGTTTCTCTCGCGAACTTTAGGGGGTCTAACTCCTTTTTTCACCACAGTGTATGCTCTATGCATTCGCCCTCATCTAGAAAAAATTCGCTTGTGATCTCCCCAAACTTGAAAGAGGCCATAACCATCCTAGAACCGGTACAGAGAGGAGCTACAAAGGAAGTGATTGGGTTACGGCACAAACGGTACCCAAACGGCTTAGTTGCTCTTCAGCTGCACCTAGTACAATACCGGAGGATCAGAGAGGATATGATCATTATGTACCACATCTCCCAAAATCCCCTCCATCCCAACAGATCCCTTCTAAGCTTTAATCGAAAACGCGACCTGAGGGGTCACCCGCTAAAGAATAGAGCATGAGAGAGAACGTACAAAGATCCGTGCTAACTCATTTGCGGTTAGGGTCTGTAAACTGTAGAACTCCCTTCCTTCAGTAGTTGTTACAGTCCCATACCATGATGCTTTTAAAAGAAGGTTAGACGGACACCTTGAGTCCTATGGTGCCGATGGGCTGTACTCGAGAAGTTTTCCCGAGATCAGATGCAGTAATACTACCTTGAGACCAGATTAATTCATATTCGTATCTCTATCCTTTCAGGTTTTTCAGAACCGAGAAGATAATTGTGACCATTCCAAACTCAGAACGTATCCCAATAAGACAGACGTAGAACCCAACGAACCACCGTTCACTAATTCTACAACACAAAGTTTGAAGTTTGAAGTATTTTCGGGTTAACTAACTTCTTCGTGGAGGTAAAAGACTGTCCCATCCAGTTCAATCTTCCTCTGTATTTCGTCCCGGGGTTAGCTTCAATGGAACTGGAATATGAAGTTAGCTGTCAGAAACGTGTGCGTGTTATATCCATGCAAAAACATAACAGTTTGTATATTGAAAGTACTAGCAACAGTGAAGAATAGCCTCTGTCTTATTTACCAAATGAACCACTTTTTCTACTAACCACATAGTCAGGTACTAATTGCTGACCTCAAGTTTTTCATCATCAAAAGCTGATAGCTGTCAAGTGACAAAACGTACAACCCATTGTTTCAGTGAATTCTTTTTAAAGATAAGGGAAGCGAGGGTTGTGGAATAAATATTCAAATTTAAATAGTACTCATATGAAATTGTTCATATCAAATGAATGACAGTTTTATAATGTAGACACATACTGTTCGTTTACATACTTCAGCAGAGTACTCCATTTAATATATGGTGTTTGAAGGGCATACGACTGGAATATTTTGACTGAAGTTCTTTTGAAGCCATTCATAAGAAGCATTTTTAAATTATCAGTATTTCAGTGTATCGAATCAAAATGTAGTATATCCATTTCGTCCTGTGCTAAAGCCTTGTTGGTTAAAAAAGAACTAAAACTATCTATTGATCGAATTTGCTCATGTTTTCCTTCACTCTTTCATTATTTTGGTTGTACACTTTGAACCTATTATGACTAGCGCTTCGCAGCATCAAAATCTTAGTCTACAGTGGTGAATAGTGTTCATATCATACGGATAATAGACTAATGTTTACATTTCAGGACTCAAAGTCAATAGAACTTTCAGGAACTAAGTTATAATTCAGCGCTCTATTTGAGTAATACTTTTGAATTTGATGATAATTACACAACTTGATATTGTAAGAAAGGTGTGTATACAGAGACTTCTGCTTGATCGAAGATGCAGATTACAGAAAAGCCACCCCCTTCAATATCGAGGAAACCTAACCTACCTTAACACACAACAACCAAATGTCAACAGTACTGTTTACTTTGGATGTGAAAACACAAAAGTCACCAGTGACGGATCTTTTCGAAAGTTAAAGTATGTTCCATTGATGGGTTTCAACTACTATGATTAAAGCGAAGGAACATATGAAACTCATATAAATATAACTGCTTGGATCATTTCACTTTTTTAGAAGATATTTGGCTCAGGACTTCCTTTTTAGTATTTATAGTAAGGAGCTCATTATATATGCTTCCATCTGATAATTCATTGGCTACCGTATGATTTAAAGTCCTTAAGTAGTTATCATTTATTGAAAGTTATTTAATATGTATTATTCTATCGTCTATGTGAAAATTTACTCACTTTATTTTCCGAGTTATAATTTCAGAAATGCGTATGCATCCATAAATAAGAGATAACTGAAAAGAAGAATGAATGTTGGAAGTGGGAACCACATTCTTGATGCTTGTATGGGTGTGCGTAAGTTTATATTACAAAGGGTGAAAACTATCGGTGAAACTAATCATGAGTTGGAAAGCAAACAAGAAATCACATGATTGTACCAGGCTGTAACATCAGTTTATCAAGCCTTTCATTACAAGGGTGCTCAAGATTTAGTTCGAAGTACTTTCGTAACACTTTGTATTGAGTTTCAAAAAGTGACTACATAGCGTTTAATTTATGACGCATAAGGATGAAAGCCTTCGAAACGGTTGCTGGTTTACATCGGAAGTTAAGTAGTGTGAAGTTCTGTAACATGAAAGTATATCTGGATTAAATATAAAAATTTCAGTCTAACATAATAAAATTTTGAAATTACCGTGATGTATATGTAAGTGGTTGATCTGAACCAACTGATTTACGTGAAGCATGTAATAAATGTTCAATTTCTTGCCTGGATTTATTCTCATCTTGATCATGTTTCGCCTTTTTCAAATTTATGCCAAAAGAAAACCCAGATAAAAACAGTTAACATAAAATAGTGAGTAGTAGGTAGTAGTAGTAGTAGTAGTAGTACATACACATCAGAGTAATTCACTTGACTTAAAAACTGAATTTATATGAAGCCTAATAGGTGAAGTTCGACTTGGTCATCTGAATACTGAAGAAGTGTAACTTCCGATCGAGGATTTCACATCCATCACGCTTCTGTACAAAGTTCATTATTATTATTATTATTAGTCCCTAGGGTTCCTAGTGGAACATACGGCTTCAGTAGCACGTCTCCAGTGACCTCTGTTCTCCGAGATCTTTTGAACCTGGTTCCACGACAGCCCACAAGCTCTCATTTCCTCCTCGCACGACCTCCTCCATGTCACCCTCGGACGTCCAACTCGTCGCTTCCCATGGGGATTCCACTCGAGTGCCTGGCCTGGAGCGTGATGTCCTCAGTCGGCCTTCTCAGTGCATGCCCAATCCATCTCCACTTCTTTCTGCATATTTGTTGCGTGATAGGTTCTTGGTTGGTTCGTTCCCAGAGTTCCTTGTTGCTTATTCTTTCTGGCCATCTGACCTTCAGCAGCGAGCGTAAGCAGTTGTTGATGAATGTCTGTAGTTTCTTGGAAATGCCTTTCGTGGCGCGCCAAGTCTCTGAGCCATACAAGAGCACTGACTTGACGTTGGTGTTGAAAATCCGTATCTTGTTCCGCATGCTGAGTGCAGAAGATCTCCACACTGGTTTCAGGCTAATGAACGCCTGTCTTGCTGTCTTTCCGATTCTGACTTTGACGTCCTCGTCCGTCCCGCCTGTAGTTGAAACAGTGCTTCCTAGATAAGTGAAGGAGGTTACTTCCTTCAAGTTTCTCCCGTTGGTGGTGACTGGAGTTTGTTGTTGTTGTTGATGGTGGTGGTGCGGTATCTTCATCACTTCTGTCTTCTCTATATTCACCTGAAGTCCCGTCTTCGCTGCCTCTTCTATCAACTTGTTAGTTTTTGCCTGCAGATCTTCAAGTCAATCAAGAATATCATGGGGGATAGTAGGCAACCTTGTTTCACTCCTGTCTTCACTTCAAAGGCATCACTGAGCTTCCCATTGTGGATTACTTGGCATGTGGCATCTTCATATAGTTGTTGAATGAGGCGGATAAAGGTTTGCGGTACTCCGTAGTATTGAAGCAGTTTCCAAATTACCTGTCGGTCGACGCTGTCAAAGGCCTTCTCAAAGTCGATGAAGTTGAGGTGAGGTAGAGAGCTGATTGCCATTCTATGCTCTGTTCTATGATGATACGAAGCGTCGCAATTTGGTCTGCACATGATTTGTACTTCCTGAAGCCTGCCTGTTCCGGTCGTAGTTTTGAATCCAGTGCATCCCTTAGCCTCTCCAGGATGATGCGGCTTAATATTTTACTTGCTCTGGGTGGACAGGAGAGTGATTCTGCGCCAGTTCTTGCAAACACTGAGGTCTCCCTTCTTCGGAAGTTTGACAAGGTAACCCTTCTTCCAATCGTCAGGTACCTTCTCTTCCTTCCACACCTTCTGCAATAGTGGTGTGAGCATGGCCGCTGTTGTCTCTGCATCTGTTCTCAGTGCTTCTGGCGGTATCCCATCTGGTCCTGCTGCTTTCCCACATTTCAGTAGCTTTATGGCTTTCAGGACTTACATTTTCGTTGGGGGATTTATGTTCACTTGTAGTTCAGCGGCTGCAGGTGGTATTTCTGGACGAAGTGTAGGTGGTGGTCGATTCAAGAGCTTCTTGAAGTGGTCGGCCCATCGTTTCCTCTGTTTCTCTTCTTTTGTAATTAAATTCCCTTCTTCATCTTTTATTGGTTTCATCTGTGTTGGTCTCTTCCCTGATAGCAACCTGGTTATTTGATATAATGTCGTCAGGTCTCTCTTACCTGCAGCCTGTTCTGCTTCACTTGCCAGTGTTTCGTAGAAGTGTCTTTTGTCTTTGCATGCACTCTTCTTCACTTCTTTGTCCAGTGTTTTATACATTGTGCTCAGTTCCTCTTGTCGTTGAGCATCCTTGCACTGGTTTATCTTCTGCTTCACCATCCTCCTCTCCTCTATCAGCTTCCAGGTATCTGTCGAGATCCATTCCTTGTCTTCCACCTTCTTCCTTCCTAATACTGTTGTGCAGGTTTCTTTCCACATAGCTTTCAAAGACTTTCAGTGTTCTTCCACACAGGTTTCTTCACGGATGTTCCTCGATGTCTCCCATTTTGTCTTGATGGCTGCCTTGAAGATCTCCTTTGTAGTTTCATCCTTCAGTTTCCGAGTGTTGTACTTGGGTTGACGTCTATCACCAGCTTCCTTGAAGGCTTTTAACTTGATTTGGAAGGTTCCTTGCACCAGATGGTGAGTGGTCTGAACCTACATCTGCTCCTCTTCTTGACCTTGTGTTAAGTAGACTGCGTCTCCATTTTCTTGAGATTGAGATAAAGTCGATTTGATTTTTAGTGTGTCCATCTGGTGAAATCCATGTCGCTCGCTTTGTGGATATCTTTGTGCCTGAACACACTGCCTCCAATCACCAAATCGTTGAATGCGCAGAATTCTGCAAACAATTCTCCATTCTCATTCATTTCACCTAGTGCCTCTCGACCCATGGTTAGTTCTCTTCCCGTGTTGTCCCCTCCCAGTTTGGCATTCATGTCGCCCATTAGAATCTTGATATCGCCAACTGACGTCTTGTCCAGTGTTGATTGAAGTTGTCTGTAGAAATCCTCCTTTTTCTCTTGCTCTGCATTATTTGTAGGTGCATAACATTGTATGATTGTGACCTTTCTTCCTTTTGAGTTGAATCTTGCTGTCATGATCCTGGAGGAGATTGGTTCCCACTGCAAGAGAGAGAGCCTTCGATGCTCTTGAGGACATCATGATAGCCACTCCATAACTCAGTGTGCTCGTGGTTGGCGTCTGGGTGACAATATCGGAGTAGATTATTGATTCTCCAGTTGATAGTTTGGAGAGTCCACTCCCATTCCATCTGCTTTCGCAAATCCCAAGCACTTCGATGTGATACCTTCTCATCTCCTTTGCAATCTGGGCTGCCTTACTGGGTTCAAACATCGTGCGGACATTCCATGTCCCCACGTTTACTTTCGCTTTCATCGAGAGAGAGAAGACACATCGGCCAATTGGCTTCCCGAAGGCTTTCACCAACTGGCGTCATTTCGTCTCTCCGATTCCAGCGGGGAATAAGTTTGTTTTCATTTTTTATATTTTGTTTGTGCTTTGAAGTTTGTTTAGCGGTTAGATTTGTTTTACGGGGTAGGGTTGCTAGCCCTATGTCCAACCTTCCCTCTTTACCGGGGCTTAGGACCGGCTAGTAACTAGTAAACTAGTTAACCAGGCGAGGTTCCTGTACAAAGTTAGAAAATGAAAAATAACTGCACAGCTCTCTCAAGAAGCCTGGGGTAAAATGTTGACTGATTAGGCTAAACACAAATGGACAAACTCACCAAACAACCTGTCGGATTGGGTTCGGGGAAAGTAGCATATTATAAATATCTATGTACAGTCAAATTACTTCACTCCATCGTGAAGTTCTCACCCACTGATGACAATATCTAGAATGAGAGTGGAACATTCACCAACCGAAATCTCTAGATTAGAAGACAACTCTAACTGAACAATCAAGCATACTGATCTTCAAATATTCCCCAGCGTTTTTAAAGTATCTGAACTCTTTGAATAACTAATTGGAAGCTTGTTTTTGAAGTCCTTCGTAAATTTAGATAGCTGATCTACAGGATTAATTCTCCATACAAAATCATAGTGGTACGGAAACTTTGCATGCTCTGTTATTATTGGCTAGATTTTACTGAGACTACTAATCATCACAAGTGTTAAAGGTATCACAATGACTCCTTTTACAATTAACTACTTCATACCCTATTATTTATTTGACTATTGTCTGCACTAAACCACAGTTTGCTCGTTAAGTTTCATGTAAGAACAGATGCTTCATGATGTCCCTACAGTGTGTTTTACCGTATGTAGTACCGTTTGAAACAGTATCATGCTCTACTGTGTAGCTTTCCTGTTTAATGGTTCCGTCTTTGATAAAACAAGTATGAGTCACCAGTCTGTGTCAATGACATTCGACATAGTTCTCATATCCTCACATATATGGTGGTCATTTAGCCAACCAGATTAAGAATAAAGAGAAAGAGCAAGTCATGAACTTCGGTTTTTATCCCAGTTTTCAACCGCCTACTGTCAAAGTCAGTCACTTAAGATTCGCTAACCATACAAAACGTTTGTATTAACACTTGATAGGTTCAACCTAATGAAATTAACGGTTACACAACGGTCAGAAAAGTCTCATATCAATGTGGTACACAGTAAGGATAACTTCATTTCCAAATGCTTGATTAAATTCAGTCCAGGTAACTTCCAAGATAACGAACAAAGTATCGCAAAGAGTTCAGTAGTCTTTTTTTAACAGTAAAGAAGCCTCTAAGTAGCATTTGCGTTCTATCAAAATCGTAAGTAATAACTTCGAACAACTAGTTGAATCCACTGCAACTTAACATCTCAGGCCTCATTAGTAAGCACCTTCTCTTCTCATCCTCCTTAAGTCCATTTTCAATCCATCAAAACCATTTCATAAGCATATAATTACCTAGAGATATGCTGAATATTTCATTTTCATTAAATTTTTCTTTGTAGCAGTCTCACTGACCAACACTTTTACAACATGCTACTAGATCCCATTTTAAGCATGAATAAACGACGATAACATTTTCGCCCAAGGAGACTTTACATATGATATGAGTAAGTATGGGTTCATGTGAAGAGATTCATGTAGTTTATTTATGCTAAATTCAGCACTATTATTCATACTTTCACTACAATAATAATAAATTATATGAAGAAAATATAAGAATATTCACTCTATCCACAACTTTCTTCAAAATGCACAGTCAATTTAGGTAGACAGTTACATTAGCAATTACATTCATAATACGTGAAAAAAGTAACACGCTCATCTACAGTTAGTTTTCTTTCAAAAACAGAGGTTGATTCTTTAGTTCATTTCTAATACTTTCTTCATCACGAAGCAGATGAGCTAAATACGGTATTGTAGAGATTTATATTCAATAGCATATGCATAAAGTCTTGTGTACTTGCTCCTTGTCTTTCCAGATAACAAACACCCTCGGAGCTTTCAGTAATGAGCATGCTGGTCATCTGATGAAATAACTCTTGTCAGATGTTTACATGAGCTAATATGTTTGTCCACAACAGTTTTAACTGGAAGGTTCATAGGCACACCACTAATTCTACTGACAATCGTCAAAGTTCTAAGCAGTATAGCACAGTCTTTTTTCAGCAACCAGGGAAAGAATAAAGGGGAACAGTAGAGGAGGACAGGCAAGATGCAAGGGTTTATAGAACACAAGATGAGAGGCTGAGTTATACCAGATACTCTCAGCTTCCTAATATAGAAGGTAAGGCGAAAAATTCTTTTGGAAATTAGTAAGACGTGGGAAGACCAGGAAAGGTCCGACCATACCACACACACACACCAAGATAAATCACACTTCTAACATTCTCTAATGAGCAACCACCAAAAGAACAAGAATCGTGAGAACTAAGCAGTTTACATAATTTATGTTCACTCTTAAAACTAAGGTTTGTAGCCTGACATTTTGAAGAATTAGGCATTAGACTATTCTCGGAGAACCATCGTCTAACAGTAGATAGGAAATCATTCAGTTGGGAGCAATCTGCTGAAGAGGAGATAGATATAGAAACTGTTGGGTCATCAGCATGTTTAGTGAAATTGATACCAGCTGAAGATTGTTAGTCATGCATAAAGAAAGGGGAAGGATGAGAGGAAAGGACGGCTCCTTGGGGAACTCCAGTCACAGTAAGCAAGTAATTGTGGCCCTAACGTTAGATAAGCAGACACTCGGACAAAGCAGGTGGCTGATTGAAGTTATTTGGCATTCAAAAGAAATCGTCGTTCAGTGAAAATATAAGTAGCCAGACGTCATTTATTGAGGTTTATATGTTACAGACTCTGTTTATCACTTTTCATCTCAACGATAATTGTTGCAAAGTCAAAGATGAGTTACTAAATTTCGCTTACTCGCCATGCGACCATTCAGACTATACTCAAGCAAAGTAGCATGTGATAAATATCCATGCCAAACTTATTACTTTACTTTCTCGTGAATCTCTGGTGATAATGATGTCTAGCAAGACATTGAAACGTTTACCAACTGAACCTCTAGCCCAGAAAACAGCTTTTTTGGGTGTTTCTTTGTGTACTGTTCATCCTATGGGGAAAATTATATCAAGCGTATTAAAAAGCGACTTTCTTCTTATCTTTCCCCTAGCCATAGGAACCATAACAAGCGGTTTTATCACTGAAATGTTTTTAAATTCTTTTTTCAAAACACTTTCACCTCTTTCACATACTTAGCATATTTTTTAAGCTCTAAACAAGCACTGGCGACATCCTATCCTATTGCATAACTTTTAGTAGTCTTTAACTTAATAAGATCATCGAATTCTCTACATTCTCAAGCCATTTTAGTTCATTTTACTGTCGTCTGTAGTTGTTCAGTTTATTATTTTTAAGGTAGTATTCATCACGGACTGACAGCAGTTGGAGAATCACTGAGAACTTGGGGGTACTGGACAGCTGTTTCATCCGAGAATGGGACTCTTCAGCAGCACACACCCGCAACCCTCCTCACAAGGGCTCGAACTCTGGACCTTCAGGTTTCACGGTGAACGCGTTAACCACCCAGCCACTGGGTCTGAGGTCAATGCTTCATAGTTTTCTACTTCTGTCACCATGCGATACAGCGTAAATATCCTCCATGGTTTTCACTTGACATCCGAATCATCTCTGACCATTTGAACCTACAGGTCATGACTGCTCACTTGAAGCTTGTCAGTGATGAACACTATACAGTAGTGCGGTTTCAGGTCAATGGGGATTTTGTTTTTAAGTTATTGGTGTCGTGGGTGCATAGTACTGAAGAGTCGCATACTAGGATGTGACAGTTGACCGGTGCTCCCAGGTTTTCTATGATCATCCAGTCGTTGTCAAATGATGATAACTGCTATCTTAAAAATAAAAAATCACCATAAACCATAAAGTGAATTAAATTTATCTCTGAAATTGTCTACGAATTAACTAATTAAAGAATATCAGTGGTGTAGTCTCACAATGGACTTGTTAGCAAGTTCACAAAAAGACTGATGCTACCAGTATGAATACGAAGTGATAAACCTCTACTTCACTGCATCATTTTCTAGAATTTACAGGATTAAAGTGGCCGGGTACTGTAACAGAAGTTCACGTTATCGATGTCACTAACCGCCTTCTCTCTGGACTTGAGATTTGTTGTTGAGTTGACCTTAAACTTTCAGCCAATATGTCAATATTTTGATGTTATAGCTTGTAAATCTCCACCGTTGAACTGATCAGCTGTTACTGTCTTGTAGGCTTTTATACAAATGTCTCAGTATTGCTGATATTCTCATTTATGGTACTAATAATGGATAGTGACTAGTAGTGAAATCCAGGACCCTCATTTCATCATATCTGAGACCCGATTCCTAGTGGGTACAACATCACTCACTTGGAGGCGAATACACCCAGCTGACGAGACGTAAGTAGGATGAAATGCGTATCCTGCATTTCACTACTAACCACTATCCACCATTAATATCAATATGTGAATATGTTTGATATCATAAATAAATCTCTAAATAGTTATACTTACCTGATTTGTAGGCGAATCTCCATTTTCAAATGAGTGTGAATATTTTATAAATTGAGGAATTACAATCGGCAATGACATTCCCATTAAAATAGCAGGGAATAACTGAAGAAATAAGAATTTTTCGTAGACAACATAATTAGCATTAAATAAAAGTATTATTCTGAAACCTTAAAACTTTATAATTTTAGAAAGTAACCAATGTAGATCTGAATTTACTATCATTCTCCCTATCTGTCTGTGAAAGACCCCAAATCACAATGGATTATAAACAAAGAGTGATTCTTAGTCATAAGCTAAGCAGAGATAGCCGAAATTTTCTACTTGATACAATAAGAACAATGTTTCTTAAATGGTTAGTCAGAAGTGATAAGCTGAGTGAGTTACACAAAGGCAAGTTGACCGACTAAACACCACCTTTTTTATTGATTTGTTCAGAGGTGAATTTTCCAAAGTTTCAATGATAAATCATGATGTATGAAGTCAGAAGTGAGAACACAAGTCTACTAATGACCTTGGATCATCGTCACGCTTTATCATAAATCAACAAAAGTGGGATTAAGTGGGATATTGGATCCTGACCTATTGGCTTAATGGTAATATCCTACCTCGGTGACCTTACAGTCTTTGGTTCCATTCCCTGCACAGCTGAAAGGTTTAAAATTAAGACAGAAAAGCTATCCAACAGCCGTAGATTTTCAATGGTTTTGTGGCTGTTGTCAATCCTAGATGAAAATTATCTTAAAAATCAATCAGTCCCTGAATAGCATCAACTAAATAACACCGATTTTACCGATTGCTATACTAAAATCCTTACTTATCAGTCAAAAGTTTCAGTACTTACTTGTAACCAAGTATTCTTAGGTGATAAATTCCCTGACCATACACCTGATAATAAATCTTGACAACATGGATTAGCCATAAATCGTATACATTTGCCACGTGCAGCTAAACGTATCACTGAAGTGTTTCCATAGAATTCTAATTTTCTGTACAAAAGAACTAATGTACGTCCACGATCTTCTTGATAACACTCTTCGAGAACTTGATCAGCTTTTTCTTCGAATGAACTAAAAAAAATATTAAGGAACATGAAATGGAACTTTAAGTTGTAAACATCTATACCGTTTGAGATTTCAGATGAAATTTTGGCCTAGGCTAAAATTCCAGATGTATTCTAATATATAATCTGATTTAGGATCAGAGTTGTTAATTTATCAAGAAGCTATCAGTGTTATTCTGTTGAAGCCTTAAGAAATACATCACACATCTCATTTCGAATTCATTCTTGAGAGTAACTAAGACAATATATAAACATCCCTGTTCTTCGCAGACTGAGTTTAGCATCATGCTAGATATCATTGTCAGGGAGACTTTTACAGACCAAATCCAAGTTAATCTTAACACTGTAACGACTATCAACAGAGAATTTAGGTTTATGGGATAACACAGTGTGAGTATGCACCTCTTGAAATCAATCTCTTAAGCAAAGTATGATTGAAGCCGTAAGGTATATGAGTAATTTTAAGAAGCTGAACTCCATTTAAGCCCAAAACTCATTAGAATAACTGAAAATTAGAGGTGTGAGAAGAACTCTTAGAAATCGATGAACACTGACCTGATGGATTCACTGAACTATAAGTGTTACTTATCGGACAAAAGAATTTCCAAATGTCGAAGATTCACACTCATTTTCTTTCGATTCGTTCATAATTAGGCTATAAGTTGTTGATATATCTAGAAGGCCAGTGAAGTGACCGAGTAAATAATAACACATACACAAAGGATTTAGGGCGATGAGACAATTTGACCGGATACGAATAGCCACAGTTCTTCTTTAATACCTTATATCTCATGAAACGGTGAGAATCAGAAGGCTAAACCGGCCTGTGACTGTAAGGAAGACACTTTATTCCACACAAATTATTATTATTTTATTATTAGTCCCTTGGGTTCCTAGTGGAACATAGGGCTTCAGTAGCACGTCTCCAGTGACCTCTGTTCTCCGAGATCTTTTGAACCTGGTTCCACGACAGCCCACAAGCTCTCATTTCCTCCTCGCACGACCTCCTCCATGTCACCCTCGGACGTCCAACTCGTCGCTTCCCATGGGGATTCCACTCGAGTGCTGGCCTGACGCGTGATGTCCTCAGTCGGCCTTCTCAGTGCATGCCCAATCCATCTCCACTTCTTTCTGCATATTTGTTGCGTGATAGGTTCTTGGTTGGTTCGTTCCCAGAGTTCCTTGTTGCTTATTCTTTCTGGCCATCTGACCTTCAGCAGCGAGCGTAAGCAGTTGTTGATGAATGTCTGTAGTTTCTTGGAAATGCCTTTCGTGGCGCGCCAAGTCTCTGAGCCATACAAGAGCACTGACTTGACGTTGGTGTTGAAAATCCGTATCTTGTTCCGCATGCTGAGTGCAGAAGATCTCCACACTGGTTTCAGGCTAATGAACGCCTGTCTTGCTTTTCCGATTCTGACTTTGACGTCCTCGTCCGTCCCGCCTGTAGTTGAAACAGTGCTTCCTAGATAAGTGAAGGAGGTTACTTCCTTCAAGTTTCTCCCGTTGGTGGTGATTGGAGTTTGTTGTTGTTGTTGATGGTGGTGGTGCGGTATCTTCATCACTTCTGTCTTCTCTATATTCACCTGAAGTCCCGTCTTCGCTGCCTCTTCTATCAACTTGTTAGTTTTTGCCTGCAGATCTTCAAGTTTGTGTGACATTAGGCATAAGTCATCGGCGAAATCCAAGTCTTCTAGGTTCTTTTCCGTCGTCCAGTGTATCCCCCTCTTCTCGCTGCCTACTGTTTGCTGCATGATCCAGTCCACCACAATAAGGAATATCATGGGGGATAGTAGGCAACCTTGTTTCACTCCTGTCTTCACTTCAAAGGCATCACTGAGCTTCCCATTGTGGATTACTTGGCATGTGGCATCTTCATATAGTTGTTGAATGAGGCGGATAAAGGTTTGCGGTACTCCGTAGTATTGAAGCAGTTTCCAAATTACCTGTCGGTCGACGCTGTCAAAGGCCTTCTCAAAGTCGATGAAGTTGAGGTGAGGTAGAGAGCTGATTGCCATTCTATGCTCTGTTCTATGATGATACGAAGCGTTGCAATTTGGTCTGCACATGATTTGTACTTCCTGAAGCCTGCCTGTTCCGGTCGTAGTTTTGAATCCAGTGCATCCCTTAGCCTCTCCAGGATGATGCGGCTTAATATTTTACTTGCTCTGGGTGGACAGGAGAGTGATTCCGCGCCAGTTCTTGCAAACACTGAGGTCTCCCTTCTTCGGCAGTTTGACAAGGTAACCCTTCTTCCAATCGTCAGGTACCTTCTCTTCCTTCCACACCTTCTGCAATAGTGGTGTGAGCATGGCCGCTGTTGTCTCTGCATCTGTTCTCAGTGCTTCTGGCGGTATCCCATCTGGTCCTGCTGCTTTCCCACATTTCAGTAGCTTTATGGCGTTCAGGACTTCCATTTTCGTTGGGGGATTTATGTTCACTTGTAGTTCAGCGGCTGCAGGTGGTATTTCTGGACGAAGTGCAGGTGGTGGTCGATTCAAGAGCTTCTTGAAGTGGTCGGCCCATCGTTTCCTCTGTTTCTCTTCTTTTGTAATTAAATTCCCTTCTTCATCTTTTATTGGTTTCATCTGTGTTGGTCTCTTCCCTGATAGCAACCTGGTTATTTGATACAATGTCGTCAGGTCTCTCTTACCTGCAGCCTGTTCTGCTTCACTTGCCAGTGTTTCGTAGAAGTGTCTTTTGTCTTTGCGTGCACTCTTCTTCACTTCTTTGTCCAGTGTTTTATACATTGTGCTCAGTTCCTCTTGTCGTTGAGCATCCTTGCACTGGTTTATCTTCTGCTTCACCATCCTCCTCTCCTCTATCAGCTTCCAGGTATCTGTCGAGATCCATTCCTTGTCTTCCACCTTCTTCCTTCCTAATACTGTTGTGCAGGTTTCTTTCCACATAGCTTTCAAAGACTTCCAGTGTTCTTCCACACAGGTTTCTTCAGGGATGTTCCTCGATGTCTCCCATTTTGTCTTGATGGCTGCCTTGAAGATCTCCTTTGTAGTTTCATCCTTCAGTTTCCGAGTGTTGTACTTGGGTTGAGGTCTATCACCAGCTTCCTTGAAGGCTTTTAACTTGATTTGGAAGGTTCCTTGCACCAGATGGTGAGTGGTCTGAACCTACATCTGCTCCTCTTCTTGACCTTGTGTTAAGTAGACTGCGTCTCCATTTTCTTGAGATTGAGATAAAGTCGATTTGATTTTTAGTGTGTCCATCTGGTGAAATCCATGTCGCTTTGTGGATATCTTTGTGCCTGAACACACTGCCTCCAATCACCAAATCGTTGAATGCGCAGAATTCTGCAAACAATTCTCCATTCTCATTCATTTCACCTAGTGCCTCTCGACCCATGGTTAGTTCTCTTCCCGTGTTGTCCCCTCCCAGTTTGGCATTCATGTCGCCCATTAGAATTTTGATATCGCCAACTGACGTCTTGTCCAGTGTTGATTGAAGTTGTCTGTAGAAATCCTCCTTTTTCTCTTGCTCTGCATTATTTGTAGGTGCATAACATTGTATGATTGTGACCTTTCTTCCTTTTGAGTTGAATCTTGCTGTCATGATCCTGGAGGAGATTGGTTCCCACTGCATGAGAGAGAGCCTTCGATGCTCTTGAGGACATCATGATAGCCACTCCATAACTCAGTGTGCTCGTGGTTGGCGTCTGGGTGACCGGAGTAGATTATTGATTCTCCAGTTGACAGTTTGGAGAGTCCACTCCCATTCCATCTGCTTTCGCAAATCCCAAGCACTTCGATGTGATACCTTCTCATCTCCTTTGCAATCTGGGCTGCCTTACTGGGTTCAAACATCGTGCGGACATTCCATGTCCCCACGTTTACTTTCGCTTTCATCGAGAGAGAGAAGACACATCGGCCAATTGGCTTCCCGAAGGCTTTCACCAACTGGCGTCATTTCGCCTCTCCGATTCCAGCGGGGAATAAGTTTGTTTTCATTTTTTATATTTTGTTTGTGCTTTGAAGTTTGTTTAGCGGTTAGATTTGTTTTACGGGGTAGGGTTGCTAGCCCTATGCCCAACCTTCCCTCTTTACCGGGGCTTAGGACCGGCTAGTAACTAGTAAACTAGTTAACCAGGCGAGGTTACCACACAAATACCCACCATTTATATTCACTTTTCATGAACATATAAAGTCACTAGGTCAAAAGTAAAATAACTTATTCTGATTGGTCAAATGTAAGAAAAAATTGTCCAATAAGGTTTCTCTTGATCACACAGAGAGATGAAGTAAAAAAGTAAATACAAAAACTTCTACGTTAGAGGCTGATGACCTAGAATGTTGATTTTCATTTGGGAAGCTTCCTATTAGACGGTCATTCTCATTCCCTTTTAAAACCCTTCAGGTTTTACGGGAAAGTTTGTTAACGTTTTCAACAAGCCTTCAAATGCTGATCAACTAGTCTCAAAACAAATTATATATATATATATATATATATATATATATATATATATATATATATTAGCCTTCTAACTCTGAGTTAAGACGGCTTGAAGAGAAGAAAGCAGCAAGGTCAAAGGGTTCGCCCCTATAGATAACTTAAAATGGAGGTCTCGAATAAGTGGTAAGTATTGGATACTGCATTGAAATTGGATGTAGAACAATCCTATTTCTCCAGATCGTTGATCATTTTAGTTTATAAGGAGAGATAGAACTAATTTTATAATAAGCGAAGGGAAATAAGCCTAATTTTAGTAACTTCGAAGAACATATAGACCTTAAGTCTACACGAATGCATATTTATCGTGTATATCTACTTTTCTTTAGGTATGAGAATGCAGACATAAGTACCAGTGGCTGATAGTGAACTTAAGTAAGAGATTTGCCCATGCTGCTCAAGAGATTTTGTTACAATGTCTATCTGAAATGAATTTTGAAAGGGTAAACTGTGTTAATCAAAGCTGTTCGATTGAACCATCGCAACAATTTAAGAGCTTACGTATTACTGTCTCTTCAAAGTAATGAAAACCAGTGGTAGCCGCCAAGG